CCCCCCCCCCCCCCCCCCCCCCCCCCCCCCCCTGCCAAAAAACTATTAATAATAAGAACAACAATAATGAACCTCAAGCCCAAAGCCGTGAAAGCTCTAAACCCACCATAAGCCTAAGCCCCACAACCCCAAGCCTAAGCGCCACAATCACCAGGCTTAGGGACCTAAACCCTAAGCCCCCACAACCCCAAGCCTAAGCCTCACAACCATCAGGGCTTCGAGACCTCCACCCTAAAAACCCCCCAAAAAAACAACCCGAAACCCTAAATCCTATAAACCCCTAGAAACCCTATAAACCCTGAACCCTAAACCCGCCTTGGCGGCGTCGAAGCCGCGGAAGCCCAGCGCTTTGGCGGCCACCATGGCGGCGTCATTGCTGCAGATGCTCGGCTCCTGGAAACAGCGGCTCTCGCGGCTTTTGCAGGGTAAGCGTACACCACCTTTTCACAAAATGCCTTTTATATACATATATAAAAGTAAATATACATATGTATATATATATATATATATTGAGGTTTGGGGTTGACAATGATTTGTAGAGTGTGGGCGCAGCCGGCCCCCGCACCCTATAACGCCAAAATGCTAAAAACTGGAATCCTACAGCCTTCTAAACCCTAAACCCTACTGAGCTTTAAACCTTAAACCCTGTTCCCCTCAACTCATGCTCACTAGAAGAATGTGAACGCGAAGCCCCGCTGTTTCGAAGGGTCTTGGGTAGGCTCAGAGTTCCGGGTTCCGGGTTCCGGGTTGTCTGAATCCCCTAAACCCTAAACCCTAGACCCTAAACCCCAAACCCTAAACTCGAGGCACAAGAGTCGGCCGGCCTCGATCACTTCAAGTGCGCTGAGCGATGAGTTGGACATCTGCACCAGCATGTTTAGGGGAGTGTAGGGAGTTTCGAGTTTAGGGTTTAGGGTTTAGTAGGGGTTTAGCGGATTTTAGATATTTCGGCATGTTTAGGGGATTTGGGGGTTTACGTTGGGGAGTTTGGGGGGTTTGGGGGGGTTGGGGGGTTTGGGGAGTTTGGGGGGGTTTGGGCAGTCTAGACTGTAGACAGTGTAGGGAGTTTCGGGCTTAGGGTTTAGGGTGCCCAGGAGGGAGTTTAGGGCTGAGGGTTCAGGGCTTCGGGGCGTTTAGGGTTACTAGGGTTCGGTGCAAGGCTCAGGAGGTTGAATACTCTGTTCTCGTCATGCGGGCTTTTTGCCACACCCGCAGCACGCTGGCATCTTTCTGTTACTTGCTGCGGGGTTGTGTGGGCGGCTGATTAGTGGTATGGTTGTGGACAGACGCTCATACGTTCCCCAACCCCCCCCCCCCCCCAAAAAAAAAAAAAAAACTAAACCCGAAAAAGACACAAAGGAATTGAAGTGAGGGGAAGGGCTGGAATTGGCATTATTTGTATTGAGCTTTCAGAAAGGATCCTGTCATTTCAATGGCAAGTCAAGAGTGAAAGAGCAGGTGCCACGAGCGTTTTGGGTTTAGGGTTGAGGGTGGTGTCTCGGCACGATTCTGAGTGTCTGCGCGTCTACTGTGCAGTAACGACCCAGCGCATGACCTCAACCTGGATTTGCATGACCCTTCTCATTGCAAATAGGAAGCCCCAAAGCGACGAGGATGTGGAGAACTTGCAAGGCTTGCCCTGTTCCTTCTACTTGGCAGTCTTTTCAAACGATCCGCTTTCTGCGCACGCAGCCGCCCAATGGCCGAGGCCGCGACTTCTCGGAAACCTGCGTCCGTGCTCTGCTTGTCTCCAGGCCGGCGGAGGCGCGGTCAAAAGTCAAATGCTAAACCCGGCCCTAAACCCTAAACCCTAAACCCACGTCTGCAATAAGTGCCCGCCGGACCTACTGTCCTCAAAGGAAGAGGAAAATCACCAGCAGCAGGATCACGGTCCAAACAAGCGCCGGCAAGTAGTCGAAAACTGGCGAGGACGCCGGGGCATCCTCTCTTGGTGCTGCAAAGGGGGGGGGGGGGGACCATCATGGGTTTAGGGTTTAGGGTTTAGGGTTTAGGTTACACGCGCGAACATGCGAAAATGCAAGATGCCAGGCCTGCCTGCGCGAGCTATCGATGCTTGTAAACTCTTAATCTAGCAGACGGCAGCGGCATGAACATCGATCCGCATCTCCACATACCTGTAGATTACTGAGGCCGTCAAAGCAACTCCACTGAACACGGACCAACATGCTGCTGGATGCTCCTCGGGCTTTCCGTGGCTGATGCCGCACGCTTCGCGAAAGTAGCGGTACACGGCTCCTGGCCACGCTGTTCACAGTGCTTGCCAGAGTCAACCCAGGAGTTGATCAAGGATGGCCCTGAAAGCCATTCAAAAAGAACATGCCGAAAGTCTGATCCACTTACAACCCACTTCAGGGAAGAAACATATCCCTATAGCTTTGGGGCATTAGTTTTGAGAAGTGACCACATACCCTCAAGCGCTTCGTAGGCCCAATTGGGGTCTTTGGTTGACGGTGTGTAGGCCTGAACTTTAGGGGCATTTAGGGTTTAGGGTTTAGGGTTTAGGGCTTAGGGTTTAGGGTTTAGGGTTTAGGGTTTAGGGTTTAGGGTTTAGGGTTTAGGGTTTAGGGTTTAGGGTTTAGGGTTTAGGGTTTAGGGTTTAGGGTTTAGGGTTTAGGGTTTAGGGCTTTTGCGGTCCATGAGCCCAGCTTAGTAGCCCAGTAGCTCGATGATGATTAGGGTGTCCTTTTTTGTGGTTGGTTTCTTTGAAGCAGGAACTTGGGATGTTCCCACTTACACTACAGTCCTTAATAGGGATTATCGTACCCACTATTATAGTCCCTCTTAAGGACTGATGGTATAAGGGGGAGCATCCCAAACGTTGTAAGGGAACCTTGAACCAACACAAAGTGGAACAGGCTACCACCTAAACCTTAAACCCTAAACCCTAAACCCTAAACCCAGACCCCTGACCCCTAACCCGTAAACCCTAAACCCTAAACCCTAAATCTCCGACTCCGCCGCCGGCCTTTGCGCAAGGGCTCGCATCGGAAGCCCACCTCGGAGATCCCTTAAAAGGTTTTCGAGGGTTTAGGGTTTAGGGTTTAGGGTTTAGCGTTTAGGGTTTAGGGTGTATATTCCTACTTCTCATCCCCCCTTTGTTCTTACGTATCATCGCCCTTAAACCCAATAAACTGGAATGTTCCCCTTGATACCTAACAGTCCTTCATAGGGATGGGCGTACTCACTTTGACAACCCCTAGCAAGGACTGTGGGTATAAGGGCGAAAATCCCAACCGATAAAGGGACAAAACAAAAAAAACATCCCAAGGGCCGACCCAGCTACATGGTGATCCGGGCGGACCAGGAACAGGCATTGCCCATGCACCCCGAAGGTGTGATGTGCCTCCACCTGAGTCGCGTCTAGGGAGCAGACCCTAAACCCTAAACCCTAACCCTAAACCCTAAACCCTAAACCCTAAACCCAAAACCCTAGTGAGTCATTGGGCATCACTGCTTTTGGTATTGCTCCCTAAGGGTCCATGTGGGGGATTTCCGAACACAGGGGGTACCTTTTTTGGGGGCCCCATTTAAGGGGATACTGCTATATTTGGGGACAAAAAGGGGGTACCCCCATTTTGGGAAATACCCATGTACCTTTCTATATGGTATACACTTGAGCCGTAAAGGGGTAGCCATATGGCAGCTTTGGGGCCCCCAAGTATATGCTAAACACATGGACCCCTTGGGGGTTTCTCTTGTTGTTGATGTTCTCAGGAACACCTGATAAATCCGACAACAGACTCGTCTCGGGCAGAAAGGCCGACTGAAACAAGCTCAACCCTTCTCATATGCGTCCAGAGAGCGTCTTGTGATGGAAAGCAGATGACCTGCCGATGCAAACTGCGAAACTCGAGTCGTCCGAGAGCGATCCCTCACACCTTGCGAGATATTATATCTTCTACTTGTAGGCACTCTTACAAAAACCCCCATTTTCACGTGCTACATACGAAATTCTCAGGACCGCTAAACCCTAAACCCTAAACCCTAAACCCTCAACCCTAAACCCTAAACCCTAAACCCTAAACCCGAAACCCTAAACCCTAAACCCTAAACCGCAGCAGTTGCGGTGGGCTCGTGCGCAAGTGCCTCGTCGACCATGGGCACGAAGTTGGTCGGGTCGGCTGTAGACTTGAAGCTGGCGCCGAAGTCCTCCGCTTGAACCCTAAACCCTGAACCCTAAACCCTAAACCCTAAACCCTCAGCCCTAAACCCTAAACCCTACACCCTCAACCCTAAACCCTAAGCCCTGAACCTTCGCAGGGTTTGCAAGGTCCGACTTGCAGTGAGCTATGAAGAGAGAAGCGATGCTCCAACGTCTTCCATGAAGGCTGCATGGTGCATGCACAAGTAACGTCAAGTATACCGTGTATATATATATATATATATATATATACATACCATATACATGTATATATACATATATACAAAAACTAGTATGTGTGTATGTATATACATACAGATATACATTGTGTAAACGACTCTGGGAGGCTTCCCATTGCATGTCCCCCTGCCTCGAGCTCAGGGAGACTCAGCACTTTGTTTCCCAGGTGCTTCTCCATGTCTGAGTTCTCCTCCTCCCCACCTCCAGTAGCTGGGAAGTCATTTAGGGTTTAGGGTTTAGGGTTCAGGGTTTAGGGTTGAGGGTTTAGGGGAGGAGGGTTTAGGGTTGAGGGTTTCGGGCTCAGGGTAGGAGGGTTTGGGGTTTAGGGGCTAAGGTTCACTTGTGCACTTGCAAAGGCATGTGGCCGTGCAAGCATGATCTCATGACAAATAGAACCAGATAAGATATGCATTTATAAATAACCTTTACGACATACTGAACATATAATCCGAAACATATACATAAATAAACGAACAAATAAATAAATAAATAAAGAAATAAATATATATACATATAAACACCTTCCCCCTTAACGTATCCACATTTTTGTGGTTGCTAGCCAATTGGCTCGTCTGATGGACCGGAGGCCTAAAAAGAGATGGAAGTGGAAAGCCATGTTTTAGATTGTGATTAGAGGGGTTAATTGTACAGTCACTGAAAAACGGCTTGTAGCTTTTGACATGCTTTCATTCATGACACGACTAGAATGTTTAGGGTTACATTTTTACTTATTAGATTTTAGGTGCCCCACGTGTAACATGTAAGTACTTGAGTCGGCCTGAATCACAAAGCTGGATGTCCACTATCACTCTTGAAAGCCGGAAATATGGGAAGATACTCTTAGAGAGCTCTGCAATTTCGGATTGTTAATGTTAAGTTGCCGTCAAATAGTATACGTAGCTGAAGAAGGAAACTAGCTTCCACTTCTGGGTCTAAACATTGGGAGCCTTCGAAGAGCAGCAGCGTCCAGCCACGAGATCGCTTAAGAATCTGATGCACGCGCATGCCTCCTGGGAGTGCAGAGTCCTGAGTATTAGAGGGTTTAGAGTTTAGGGTTTAGGGTTTTGGGAAGTTTAGGGTTTAGGGCTTGTCGTGACGAATTTAAGGTTTAAGGGCTGAATTTATGGGCTTGAGAAAGGGTACTTAAGGGGCCTTTAGCTTGTAGCGGTACTCTACAGCACCCTGATCCCAGGCCATTGTGCCTAAACTCCAGTCACCCTAGTCATCCCAGTCCTTGTTTGGCTCAGGGGCGTGCTTCCGCAAGCAACAGTTCTGCAGGTGCTACAACCCCTAAACCCTAAACCCTAAACCCTAAACCCTTGAAAACTGAACGTGACGTGGCCGATCGTGGCAGAGGTTCAGTGGGGGTTTAGGGCTTAACGTACTGTTGGTTAGTAGGGTATGAGGGAATGAGGTACCCTATATAATCCCTTAAAGGGTAACTATATATATATATATGTATAGGGGGATCTAGGGTACCTCATTCCCTCATTCCCTCATTCCCTCATTCCCTACTAAGCACGGTAAGTTTAGGGCTTAAGGCACCTATCAGAGCCTTTAGCTACCTTTTGATGGCGGACTGCCAGCTGCCTTGCGGCACCACAAAGCAAGCGTCAATGACCACCCTAAACCCTAAACCCTAAACCCTAAACCCTAAACCCTAAACCCTAAACCCTAAACCCTAAACCCTAAACCCTAAACCCTAAACCCACAGCTCAAACCCTCTGGCATGAAGGAAACAAAACAAAGGGCAAACAGGTCTGCCATCACTACACGTCCACTACGAACAGTGCCCCTAAACCCTAAACCCTAAACCCTAAACCCTAAACCCTAAACCCTGAACCCTAAATCCTAAACCCTCAACACCAATCTTCAGGTGCTAGCTGCTGGGACTCGATCTCCCGCATGAACCCTTCGCGCCAGGGCACTCAACACAAACAAGTTGGGGATGTCGGAGAAGGGTTTAGGGTTCAGGGTTCAGGGTTCAGGGTTCAGGGTTTAGGGTTTAGGGTTCAGGGTTTAGGGTTTAGGGTCTTAGGGTTTAGGTAACGGTAGCTTCATGGGCACTAAATATGGTCCCTTACCCTCTTTAAAGCGTTCTGATGCATGGGCCCTTTATTTGTATGGGGTATATAAGGGGGTATATAAGGGGGTATACAAGGACCTTGTGAACTACCCTAAGATGGAGTTTGGGGTTAAGGGCCCAGGGTTCAGGGCTGTGGGGGCAATCCAGATACAAGGTGCGGTATAAGTTGGCTGCCCAGCGGCAGCCACACAGAAGCACTCGTGCCAGGTGCAATGTGGTTCAGAACATGCAACGTCAGTACCAGCACACACAAACCTTCTGTATATTGCACAACAAGCATACTCAAAGCAGTATAGTTACACAATAACATGAAAATTCGATGAGAATAATCTGAAATCACATGAAACTAAAAAATATATATTATACTACTATAAAAATCGACAGTACAAAAAAGTACTTATAGAAGCATGCTTCATATGATACTGTAGTGATACGGTAATATAGCAATACAGTAACGTAAATAAAATATCAAATTCCATATAAAACATAAGAACATAACAGTATAACACTATGAGAACATAACAGTATGCTAACACACTGTAAAGCAGCGACATAAGAAACTACTAACTTTTTGACTTTGTGATGCGGTAAAAATGAATGAGAACAATCTTACAGTGTGCAAGATGACCCTGTCAAGCCTGACCGCTGTTCTTCAGGTGGCCATTGAATGAACTTTGAATTTCCTCCTGACAACCAAACTCCGAAACCCTAGCCCCAAACCCCAAACCCAGCAAAGCCCAAACCCAAAAAAACCCAAAAAGACCCAAACCAAAAACTAAACCCCAAACCACAAACCTAAACAACAACTCCTAAACCCCAAGTCCAGCCTCGTCTTGATCCAGCGGTGGAGATTTTGGCGCCTTCTGTACCCGCCAGCAGGGCAAATGCTGGTGATGGGGAAGCACCTTGGTGCTCCACACTACAAGAGCTCCCTGGGACGCTTTCGGGGCCATTTGCTTAAGAACCCCCCAGAAAATAAGAACATAGCAATCCCGATATACCCTTATAAGGAAGAATCTTGAATGGGGGGGGGGGGGGGGGGGGGGGTTCTTGAGCAAACGGTAGGGGCTCAGGGTACGTGATTGCTTTGGATCACTTCTTGTGGGCGTGTGATCTTCCGAAACGGAATGTAAAGTCACGAAGACCTCAAGCCTCGAACCCGAACTCTGTGATCCTAACTGACCTTGGAACCCTAGGAAAACTCCTTGTTGTTGCTGTTTCTTAGGAATTATTATACTACCAAAAAGAATGAAAACTATTCCCAAGTATCCCTTAAGTGATCTTAAGGCTCGCGAAACTGAGCCAAACGCTGAGGCGTCGGCGTGGGCACGGGTCGCTCCCAATGCTCCACGGACAGCTTCGACTTTCGATAGGACCAACCCTGACCCACAGGGTCCATTTGTAGTAATTACTATATGGAATTAGGTATCCCAAAACCCTATTGTAGCATGGCTTTTGAATACCTAATTCCTAAACCCTAAACCCTAAACCCTATTTAGCATGGTTATTGGGTACCTATATAATTCCATAATCGTACTGCAAGTGGACCCCGTGGGGCATGCAAGGTGCCAGGCCGGGAGTTGGGTGCGGATGGCCGGCTTTGATCTGGGTTCACTACTATTTGCTTAAGAACGCCCCCCCACCCCCCCCCCCCAGAAAACAGAAAATCCCCGAGAAAGTTAAAAACAGAATAGTCCCTATAGTACCCTTACAAGGAGGGATGTTTGTTTGTTTTTGTTGTGGGGGTTCTTAAGCAGATAGCAGTTGAGGGCTCGATTTCGGGTTTGGGGGGCATGGGGTCCTTCTTTCGACATCGTCCCGCGATGGCTGTGGGTTTGGAGTCAGGACTTGATTGGGGGAGGGGGTGAAGGGGGGGGGATTCCAAAGTTGTCAGGAAGCACAAAAAACAGGGCAAAAAAAGAGCAGCCAATAGCGTGAGTTCATAGACGATGCCTGAAGTTGCATCCCTCCCATCTGCTCTGTGAAGCTCCGAATGTCCCGGAACACTAGACTTATCTCCAACCCGCAAACTTGACAACAAAGATCTCTGACGAACCTGCTGGGAGACAGTCTTCAGGATTGCTGGTTGGATGAAAGTCCTCAGATCACATACCGAGACACATCGAATCTGGCATGTGCGGTTTGGCCATTAGAGTATATGATTCTGGCTTCGGGTTACGCCTTCTCTTGTGAGCCCATGTATGGTCTTGCAAGTTTGGGGCGAACCCTAGTTTGGGGCGAACCCTAAACCCTAAACCCAACCCTACACCCTGAAACCCTAACCCTCAACTGCATGGAGTCTCCAGGGCCACCTGCTGTTCGCCCACGTATACTGTTTCCATGTGCTTCTCGAAGATGATGTACACTGCCATTTGCTTAAGAACCCCCCACCCCCCCCACCCCCCCAATAAAAAAAAAAGATCTTTCCGATAAGGGCAATACAAGGATCATTATGCTTTATTTTCTTTTTTAGCAAACAGTAGTACGGGGACGCAGAGAGACCGATACCACTGAGTATTTCTAAGTCAAGGCGCAGCATGTTGACCAGCCTGCGTGAGGGAGGGTGCTGCACAACCCGTCTGACTCTTGCACGTCCAGGTCTGTTGCATACTTGGAGGTTCATGGTACTTATAACATCAATTATCACTGTACTTGTAACTGTACTTATAGCCATATTGGGGCACTTAAGAGGCTTATAAGTGGGTTACAAGTACAGTTATGATTGGTTAATAAGTACCATGAACCTCCAAGTAGCTCTCAGATAGACATGACGCAGTCCCATCCCGCATGCTGGATGCTAGCCTGAGCTATTTCGGCTTAGGGTTTAGGGTTTAGGGTTTAGGGTTTAGGGTTTAGGGTTTAGGGTTTAGGGTTTAGGGTTTAGGGTGGCCTCTGGCCACGACCTCGCATGAAGAAGATCAAAGGGTTCCTGCTGGACACGACCTCTTGCCCGCCTTGGAGTACACCACCACACTGTGATTGTTCAGATGACAGGATTCGGACCACCTCTTGAGAGCAAAAGAACACTACTGCGCATTACATACTGTACGTTCTATTATATGTTGTATTGTACTTTGTTATAAGAATTCTTCTGTAGTTTATCATACTCTATACCACACACTGTATTTAAGTATTCTACGTACCGTACCTACATTACATGTTGTCTATCTCTCTCTATAAACATATGTACAAATATATTTATACATGCATATATATATATATGTATCTGTGTACATATTACATAACTGTTTAGCCACCTCTTAGTCTCCTTCGTCTCCTGCGTCTCCGCGAGGGGCTTAAAGTTTTCTTGCTGCCACGGCTCGTTCGATGCCCATAAGGAGCTTGCTCTCCAAGGTCTAAGTCGCGCATCCCGAGCTCGATATGGGGGTTTACGAAAATCAGGGACCTCTAATATATGACCCCAATAATATGAATCCCTTTTTATAGTAAGGACCCCAAATTAAGGTAACCTCAATTTTCGGAAACCCCCTCATATAAGGGTTTAGGGAAAGAAGCCACTGAACTCCTGGAGCAACTGGGGCTGGTGGGGCTTCTGTGGTTTCGGGGCTTCTTTGGTTTGCCACTCTGATATCGCCCTCACGAAGAAGCTGCATGGGAAATAGGAATCTCTCCTGATTCATTGGATCCAAGTCAGATCTGTTGTGCGCATTTAGATCATATCCAAGTAGAGTATATCTATTTCTTGTACCCCCAAAAGGACACTAGGTATATACACTCACCAATATTAAACTCAACAATAACAGCAATATAAACCCTGTGTCACATCCCGCTGAAGGTCGGCATGCTGCTGCAAGCAAGCGACCTTCCGCTCGCCTGCAGGGAGAAGGCTTCAGGGCCCAGATGGACTGACTAGAGTGCTTAAGTAGCCCAGTAACCATCTTATAATAAGGGCACCCTTTTTTGGGTTGGTTATTTGATATAATGGAACCCAGAACCAAAAAAACAAAAGGGTCTAGGGTACCACTGGGCTACCAAGAGTGCCTTGACTATGTACGCTGTGAGAATGGGTTCGCCCTAAGCCTGGAAGCGCATGCATGACAGGAGTCAAAGAAACCCGGGCAGTTGGCTCGACCCTAAACCCTAAACCCTAAACCCTAAACCCTAAACCCTAAACCCTAAACCCTAAACCCTAAACCCTAAACCCTAAACCCTAAACCCTACAATATCAAACCGCCGCGCGAAGCCACAGCTCCTCACAAAAAGAGCCGGTGCCAATTCGACCCCCAATTGCAGCTCCTCTCTTGGGTGCCATCTTCTATCATACGAAGGAATCACAAGATCAGTTGCCCCAAAGAAGCAATCTGCTCTGGAGCACTGAAGATTCATGGTCTCGTTGTCGAGTGCTTAGGGTCTTCGGGTGTAGGGTGTATAGGCCTCGTAGCTTACAGAGCGTCGGTCTCATGCGCCCAGGCACTCTCGTAGGAGAGCAGCAGCGAAGAAGTTGGCCCGCCACACCTTTGAGCTCTACAACGTTGCCCATGTAAAGGTTGGGGGCCCCGTATTGATGAGACTTCCTCGCTTGGCCTGCGACTTCCTGATGCACAAAGTGATCTAACACCACACTCCCCCCATCCCCCAACATCGACATCCATCGCTCTTCCTGGTTGTTGCTTCAACTCCAAGCGCCTGCCAACAGACAATGACCTGACATTAAAGTAGGCAAGGGAAGCGGCTTCTGGAGCATGTGCTTCAAAAGGCCTGTGAAGTTCTGAGGGAGAATCGTGCTGCTGCTGGTGCATTGAGTCGCACTGAGCCTATTCCACGCGCACAACAACGCAACGCCAAGGCACTTGATGGCCGTCGCCAACTTCCAGGCCAAGTTCTTGGCGTCCTGGAAGCCCATGTTCATGCCTGCGGCGGGGCATAGAATAGGGTTTAGGGCTTAGGGCTTAGGGCTTAGGGCTTAGGGCTTAGGGCTTAGGGCTTAGGGCTTAGGGCTTAGGGTTTAGGGTTTAGGGTTTAGGGTTTAGGGTTTGGGGTTTGGGGTTTGGGGTTTGGGGTTTGGGGTTTAGGGTTTAGGGGGCTTTACATGTCCCACACGTCGAACAAGGAAGCCCGAACTCAGAAGGAACTGCTGCAAGACAGGTTCCAGAGCCAGTTCAACACTCGCAAATCCGATCCGAGTTCATCCGCTCAACCTAATAATTACAAGGGGCCTGCAGGGCAAAGCGTTTGCTGCATGGCGAGATTGGGGGGAATCTGTTTGGGATGGCCAAGCCGACACTAAACTCGACCCACACTATTTCCGGAGATGGTCCGGAGGGGTTCTGAATGGGAAGCGGATTGTCGGCATAGGGCAGGATATAATAATGGAAGGCTCCCGCGGTCCAAAAAAAAATTGGGGGACATTCAGATTGAGGGGCTTATGTTCATGAAGGGTCAGTAGCGTGAACGCCTGGTAATGTGCAACCTCGAGCCCACTGAACGACACCCCGACACACCAGGAATGTCCACATCAGGCGGAAGTCCCGAAACAGATCTAAACATAGAACGGTGAACCATGACATCGACAACTCTCAACAGGAAGTCAAGCCATAATGTAAACTATATCAATCTTAAACAGACTCACTCCATGTGTACATGCTATATTTCTAGACAGTATAGGTCACAAAACATTGCATGAGCTAGTAAACTAAGCCCTGAATTTGGGTCCCCTGCTATACAATCCTTCTACTTCGGATCCCTTTAGATCCCCGCAAACAAGGGTAAGTGACCATACTCAGGGCCCATGGTTCCAACCTTAGATCTAATGTAACCCCCACTGTCGGCAGTCGCAGGCCTTGTCCCCCGAAGGGCGAGTGGCAGTGGCATGCATCACCCGCCAGAAAGACCCGGCCACGACCGTAGCACTCCACCTGCTTCGCAGAGTTCGCCGAATGGTGTAGGGTTGAGGGGTTAGGGTCTAGGGTCGTGTGTCCCCCGCAGGTTTCTTTTCCCCCAGATTCTTGCAACCGGTGGCAGAAACCTGTAAGACCATCCAAACACCATGCTTTGGCAAAGCTTAGATAGCCTCGACCCGCAGCCCAAGACCACTTGCAAGGCTTCCGTGCAAGCTTTCGGTGCCGCCACTGCTTCAGTAGCCCTTCTCGGGCTAGATGCTGCACCCCCCTTAATACCCGACCTGAACCCCCTAAACCCTAAACCCTAAACCCTAAACCCTAAACCCTATAAACCCTAAACCCTAAACCCTAAACCCTAAACCCTAAACCCTAAACCCTAAACCCTAAACCCTAAACCCTATAAACCCTATAAACCCTAAACCCTAAACCCTAAACCCTAAACCCTAAACCCTAAACCCTAAACCCTAAACCCTAAACCCTATAAACCCTATAAACCCTAAACCCTAAACCCTAAACCCTAAACCCTAAACCCTAAACCCTAAACCCTAAACCCCAACCCTAAACCCTAAACCCTAAACCCTAAACCCTAGACCCACAGTAATAGTACCAGCCCAGCTGCCTGGCGTGAGTTGACGCGAAAGTGCGTGAGCCACTTCACGGACCCAGGCTTGACCTGGGTTTCGGGTTTAGGGTTTAGGGTTTAGGGGTTCAGAGTTTAGGAGTCTAAGGGCCTGTTAAGGTCTACGTGCTACGATTTCAAGAATCTTGCCTTCCCTAAACCCTGAACCGCGAAACCCCTGAGCAAGGCAAGCAGCTGCCCCAAGCGGCCGTCGACGCTTGTTTTGGGCAACGTCGAGTCTCTGCACCACTTGGGGTTTCCGAACATAGGGGACCCCTTTATCTAAAATACTGATTCCTTGTGAAAGGCCCCGAACATAGACCTGCAAATAGTAGGAATCCCTTATAAAGTAAGGACCCCAAAAAGGTACCCCTAGTTTCGGAAACCCACATATCGAACCCAAGCCGAACAAAAAAACAACAAAAACTCGGTGCCACTCGGTGGAGAGCCACTGTCACCTGCTGGCCCAGCCCGCGAGATCGCGCCACTTTGAGCACGTCCTCCACCTACACCACGCTGTGAAGGGAAGCCGAAACCCCTAAACCCCCAAACACCCAAACCCCTTAACCCCTAAACCCCCAAACCCCTAAACCCAAAAACCCCTAAACCCCTTACCCTAAACCCTGAGCGGGGAACTTTGAAGTTTGCGGTGTTCAGGCTCCGCGGCGTGTTGAAAGTACAGGGCGTTCCTTCTTGTCCTTTTTTTTTTTGGGGGGGGGGGGGGGGGGGCAGATGTACAGATACCACACCTGAATTGGGATGTTCCCCCCTATACTAACCGTCCTTAGTAGGGATTCGAGTACCCCGTCTGAAAAACCCTACCAAGGACTGTTAGGGGGGGAACATCCCAGCCTCTGAACCCTAAGCATCCCCGAAAACCCTAAAAATCCTGAAGCAAGAAGGGCCCCAGCGGTGCGGAGTCCCCGCCCTAAACCCTAAACCCTAAACCCTTGGGAGGCTAGAAGACATCAACCGTCTCCTCTCCCCAGTGGAGGGAGCCAAACACTCAATTCAATCTAAACCCCGTAAACCCCGTAAACCCCGTAAACCCCCTAACCCCCTCAAACCCCTTAGTCCTCCTTGTGGGGTTTAGGGTGTAGGGTTTAGGGATGAGGGTTTAGGGTTTAGGGGTGTAATTTTTAAACCCGAAACCCTAAACCCTAAACCCTAAACCATAAAAGCCTTTGGTACCCTCAAGGGCTCGGCCTCCGGCTGACGGAGGACCGGAAAGCCATTTCGGTCGGTTTCGCCTGCGGCAACACCCACAAAAGGCAGCCCCAAAATGCCCCCTTCAACTTAGGCTTACAGTGGGTTTAGGGCTTAGGGATGTTTAGGGCTTAGGGCTTTGGGTTTGGGGCTGAATGTAAATTCCTTCTTGAGCTAGGGGATACTAGTATAAACTACCCCAACAAGGTACTACCTAGGAGTCTTTAGGTACAGTATATGGGCCTAAGCATTTCTTTCATCTTGACCTGTTGCATTTTGCCCTTGCTGCCCTTGCTGCGATAGGAAGCGGCCGGCAGTCTCAGACTTAGCTTCGTGTTCAGCAACGGTGCGGGTGCAACTGGTAGACATGTGGATTATCTGAAGTCGGTCAGAAGTCTGCAACGCTTCCAGGTCCTAAACCCTATAAGCCTATTCCAGAGACTCGCGCCCATGTCACCGTCACGCCTGTCACCCAGTCCTTCTGCTGATTTAGATCGAGGTCCACAAGCCTGAGGCAAGCCATGTGGTGCCAGCCATGTAGTGCAAACCGTGTGGTACTGCGGAGCAAAGAAGAGTCCACGTGTCTTTCACGCACCCATCCTCCAAAAAATGTCTATAGGTCTTTTGCGGCCGGGCCACAGAAGGCAGTTTCCGTCCCCAAAAGGGATGTTGAACGCGAACCCTGGTGCCAACGGATCCTGAAGCGAAGCCAGGCGTAGAAAGAATCAAGGGACATGCACACCAACCAAAAGCTCAACGACAGCAAGGATCTGTGCAATACAAGAACATATGAAAAGGCATACATATAAATACATAAATATATTAATATATATATATATACATAACACAATTAATACATATGACAGATGATGCACAGTAGAGTTCTGAAGGCTGAGACGTCGGTCCCGTCCTTGTCCTGGGTCAGCGACACGGTGACGACCTCGTGTTTTTTTAATGTAAGCTGTGTGAGGACTCTGAAGTCCATCCTGATCATCTACTCAGAACTGTACTTATAACCATATTAGGGCACTTAAGGGGCCTTACAAGTGGTTGTAAGTATTGGTCAATAAGTACCATGAACCCCTAAACCCTAAACCCTAAACCCTAAACCCTAAACCCCTCTAGGTATCAGCTAAAACTGGTTAAGAAGTACCATGAACCTCCAGGGTACATGTCTTCACCATTGCTCTTGAGTGCCTGCATACTGACATCCCCTGAACCCTAAACCCTAAACCCTAAACCCTAAACCCTAGACCCCAGACCCTAGAATTGGTACGTATAGGCATGGCCCCCTGCTTGTCTCTCGCCGTGTGAAAGGGTTGGGGTTTCCTCAGGGACGAAACGAACCTCAAAAGGGTTTATGGTTCATATACCTTTAAGGTATAGTTATTAGGTGAATAAGAAATACAGTAATATAGGGCATATGACCCCCTAATTGAATTCTAGTAGTATAGGGTTTATGCCCTCAATGGTAGGGTCCATTTGGTCCGCAAGGCTAGACCCTAAACCCTAAACCCTAAACCCTAAACCCTAAACCCTAAACCCTAAACCCTAAACCCTAAACCCTAAACCCTGGAGCCAGCCCAGACACATCCTTGGAATCCAGCTCAAAGTTCTCAAAGCAGGCATCCAGGCCCAGGAAATACTCGGGCGTGGTGGTACCGTCGAAGGAGTAACCCAAGAGATGCCTCAAGGGTTTAGGGTTTAGGGTTTTAGGGATTTAGGGGTTTAGGGGTTTAGGGTTTAGGGTTCAAGGTTTAGGGCTTAGGGGTTTAAGGTTTAGAGTTTTAGGGGTTTAGGGGTTTAGGGGTTTAGGGTTTAGGGTTCAAGGTTTAGGGTTAGGGGTTTAAGGTTTAGAGTTTAGGGTTTAGGGGTTTAGGGTTTGGGGTTTAGGGTTTCGGGGTTTAGGGCTTAGGGTTTGGGGCTTAGGGTCTGTGACCAGACTTGGCGGGCCGGTCTCTATACCACGCACCCAACGCACGCCTTTTGTGGTCCCTATTGCTGGGCTACATCGGAACCCCGAAAGCATATGAACCCCAGACCCCTAACCTTGAACCCCCTGAACCCCCTAAACCCCCCCTGAAACCCCTGAACCCCCTAAACCCCTGAGCCCCCCTAAACCCTAAACCCTAAACCCCCTAAGCCCCATAAACCCCCACACAGCCCTCCAAACCCCTCCGGCCTGATTCTGGATCTACCACCATCACAGGCGATCAAGAACTTGCAGGTCACCTTGCAACCCCAAATTAGGGTTTAGGGTTTAGGGTTTATTGCGATTAGGGGATTAGGGTTTCAGGTGTTTCTTTGGGATCGCAGGGTTTGAAGGGGTAGAGTTCGTCCCAATGCCCAGCTTACTTTTGGTCGAGCAGGCCCTCCGCGCCCTTCATACTTCGAGTCTCGGGTCAAGGTTTAAGGTTTAGGGTTCAGGGTTTAGGGTTTAGGGTTGGGATAGCCGAGCAGAAGTTATGTAAATAGAGACTACCTAAGCCCCACACCCGAAATCTCCTCAGCGCCAATAAGCCCAATAAGCCCTGCACCCCAGCTCCATTGGGGAACCCTAAACCCTTAACCCTAAACCCCTCAACCCGAAACCCTAAACCCTAACCCTAAACCCTAGCCCTAAACCTTAAACCTTGACCCTAAACCCTAAACCCTAAACCCTCAACCTAGGCTTTAAAGTGTTTAGATGGCTTGGGGTTTTCGTATCCGGCCAGGCACCGTCTGCGCACCACCCGGAACTTTGAGATGGCACTGCACTCCCATGGGGCCTCCAGCAAGGGTTTAGGGGTTTAGGCTTTAGGGCCTTTAGGGTTTAGGGTTTAGGGTTTAGGGTTTAGGGTTTAGGGTTTAGGGTTTAGGACTCAGGGTTTAGGGTTTCGGCTTTCGGGTTTAGAGTTTCGGATTTAGGGTTTAGAGTGTCGGGTTTAGATGGGTTTAAGGGTTTAGGGGTTTAGGGTTTAGGGTTCAGGGTTTTAGGGCGGTAGGGTGCATAAGGCAAGAGAAGCGCCCCATGGAAGCAGCCCACGCCACTGACCAGACGCATAGGGTTGTGGGGCGGTTTAGGGTTTAGGGTTTAGGGTTTAGGGTTTAGGGTTTAGGGTTAGGATGACTGTGGCCCCCTTTGTGAGCCGGCCTTCTGTGAAGGAATCCAGTTCCACCCCACGCCGGATCGTCATCTTCTTCCTCATGCTGACTACTTGGCGGTTCATGGGTAGCTACTTATTAAATGGTTTAGGGTTTAGGGTTTAGGGTTTAGGATTTAGGGTGTAGGGCTACTTGGAGGTTCATGGTACTTATTGACCACTTATAGCTGTACTTATAACCCACTGATAAGCCCCTTAAGTGCCCTAATAGGGGTTATAAGTACAGTTATAAGTACAGTTGTAATTGGTTAATAAGCACCATGAACCTCCAAGTATAAGTGGGGATCTACGTTATACGTAAGGTAGCTACGGTTATAGCTGCTTATAACCTTACTTAGGGTACTTGTGCCCCTACTTATACCAACCCATGAACCTTCAAGTAGAAGTTCGGGATGTAGCACCGCGCATGGACGGAGGAAAAGCGGCGCACCAGCCCCAGAAACTTGGGAAGTGTGGAGAGGGGGTTGGGGGCAGGGGAGGGGGTGGGGAAGGGTCGAGATGCGGTCAGAGGTGCTTCCCGCCCTGGGTCCAGTCGGGGAGCTCCTTCAGGTACTCCGTCAGGTAGCGCTCGGTTTCCTTGGCTGCTGAGCAAATGGCGGACAGCTTGCGGCAACAATCGCCAGCAACGCCCAGACGCCACACACTTCAAACATTCCAAGTCAACTCATCGCATGCCCCAATACTAAACCCACTCTCACCCCCGCTGGAAAAATGGTACAAGGTAGGTCTGCTGCACGGTCCTACACCTTCAACATCAGCCCTAAGGCCTGAAGCAAAAAACCCGGTTTAGGGTCTAGGGTTGAGGGATAGATCCTGGGGGGGGGGGGGGGGGGGGGGGGGGGGGGGGGGAGGGGGGGGGTTAGTACTCGGGGGGGAAGCGAGTAGTCTGTCAATAAGAAAAATGGCCCCTATACACCCTAAACCCTGATGTTAGGGTTTAGGGTTTAGGGTTTAGGGTTTAGGGTTTAGGGTTTAGGGTTTAGGGTTTAGGGTTGAGGGTTGAGGGTTGAGGGTTTAGGGTTTAGGGTTTAGGGCCCTTACGCAGTCGGGCAGCGTATTGGCGGATGCCGAGGATTCCATGGTAGACCTCAAACCCCAAACCCTAAACCCCAAACCCTAAACCCTAAACCCTAAACCCTAAACCCCTAAACCTAAACCCTAAACCCCTAAACCCCAAGCCCAAAAACACTGTGGAGTTCAGGGAGCTTCGGGGTTCCCGGTTAAACCCTCATGATCCAGCGCCACGGATTTCTACGCGTGTAAGCTTAGCTTATGCTGCGCTGCGACATGAATCAGATCGTGCAGGTCCTAGATCGCTACTTGACCCATCGTGATCAGGTGGCTCGTGCAGCCTCGACCAGAAACTATCGAAAACAGGGCGCTCGAAAAGATGAAACGGTCACATCGTAAGCCCTTCCTGTGGAAACGGCTCGCCCTCTACGTCTGTGCATATTTGGAGAGGTGCCTGAGCCACCCCGCCCGTCGCAACCACCGCATTTTACAAGGGTTTCGGTTCAACCCCTTAGGATTTAATGGGTTTTGGGCTAAGGTATGGGATATCGTTTCGGCTAGAAAGGGCAAAGGCTTGTCAAAGCGCCTCCAGCGGAGATGTTTGGACAGAGAGCACGGCCTTGATGGGCTTGTTCTCCTTTTGAGGGCCGCTTGGGGCTTGGGGGGGGGGGGGGAACCCCATGCATATGTCTGCATATATTTGAATCTGTCTAAACATGTGTATGTGCACACACATACATACATACATACATACATGCATGCATGCATGCATGCATGCATACATACATACATACATACATGTATGTGTGTGCCTTGTTATAGGCATCATCGTGTAAATCTTGTATACTACTAATCCTGCATAAATGTTGTCTGCTTGCAAGTCTTGGGTGGGAGAGCCCCGAGCCGCCACCAACCGTGGAAATGCTTCAGCCGCCGGGTTGAGGGCTTCGGCTTTTTAAGGCTGAATTTGAGAATTTTTGGGGCCCCTTTAGGGTTTCAGAAATCCAGGATTTTTCAGGTTTAGGGTTTGAGGGTACAGGGCAGGGTTCGGGTTTCAGGGTTTAGGGGGGTATTAGATCGTATCTGCTTTGGTCAACTGACTGGCAACGGTCAACCTAGACGAAGGTGCTCACGGCGCAACGGCAGCGCTTCAAACTGCCCGACATGCGTGCCAAACCTTGGCACCAAGCCTGCTTCTCCATGATTCTCATCTCTTTCAGCAGATTGCCATTCTTCCTGGGCATTGTAAGCTAGTCGCAGGGTCTGGCACTAGGATGTGGGGTTGCAGGGCTACCGAGTCGTGGAAATTCAAGGCTGGGTCTCAAAAATGACGCGCTCCCCTTGACGATCACCCACATACGGTTTAGGGTTTAGGGTTTAGGGTATAGGGTTTAGGGTTTTGGGTTTAGGGTTTAGGGTGCAGTTGCGCCAGTTCTGGTACCTACATGGCCACGTGGACGAGGCATGCTTAGCTACGCGCCAGTGCCTGTGAGAGTAGCCTGACCGACGGAACTCGGATCTGCAATCACCCTAAACCCAAAACCCAAAACCATAAACCCTAAACCCTAAACATGCGAACTCTCTCGGGCAGAGCTCCACTTCAGCTGAGCCTCAGAAGCTTTCCTTCCACCTCAGTCGGCAAGACCTGAAAGACGATCTCGGGCAGGCTTCGGAGGATTAGGGACAACAACATAAACATACTAATAATACTGGCAACAATAATACTAAAGATAACAATAGTAAGAATAATCATAATCATAATAACATGGATTAGGGACCTCGGACCCAGTGTGGCTTTCGGGCTGCGAGATCTTGGCACCTGGGTTTGGGGCTTCGGGTCTAGGGTTTAGGGATTTGGGGTGTGGGCTTAGGTTCTAGCAGGGTGCAAGAATTTTGTGTGGGCTGGGGAATCAGAACCCGCAGTGCAAACAATCCAGGATTCGTGGCGTGGGGCGTCGTAGAGCTTAGGCTTCGACGCTTCAAGTCTGGCTGGGCACCGGAAGCATGCTTCGAACTGCCACGATCCGCGGCCGGGATGTAGGATCGAAGAGCCACAGAACACACTGCATCTGTAAAGCCCAAGACCCTGAACAGTTCGAAGCACTCATGCCCCTGAACCCTAAACCCTAAACCCTAAACCCTAAACCCTAAACCCTAAACCCCGAACCCCAAACCCCTAACCCAAACCCCTAAACCCTAAACTCTTCAGCCGCGTCAAGCACAACGAGGCACCTCGAGACTCCGCGGGACCACCCCAGAGGCCTGGGTGCTTTGGAGGGCTTCGGCTTGTAGGGTCTTGAACTTGTAGGGTCGCATTAGGGTTTAGGGTTTAGGGTCTAAGGTTTAAGGTTTAGGGTTTAGGGTTTAGGGTTTAGGGACTAGGGTTTAGGGTTTAGGGTTTAGGGACTAGGGTTTAGGGTTTAGGGTTTAGGGTTGGTTTAGGGTTTAGGGCCCAGGGGTCTTGAGGTCTCGCCTTGGTGATCTGCGCTGGCTCGGTCAGGGCGTCAATGATGGCAACCTCTTCAGCGTTTCAGGGCCCAAGCCAAATCCTACAACTGGGGGCATGTTTTGGGGTCCTTATTTTACGGGGATCCTACATATTGGGGGTCCCTTATTCTCGTAAACCCCATTGAGCTTCGCCAGGAAGAACCTGGCAAAGGCGGACTAGCCGAAAGACCCAACCGACGGCAGATTCAAGTGGTTCCAAACACCTTGCATTGGATAGAGATGGCTTGTGAAGCCAATGTTCCCCCTGAGAGGGCTGCCGGTGTCCTCTCCACGGGAACAGGTTGCTACTGCTTGGCTGAGACACTACTAATTGCATAAGAACCCCCAAAAAATGAAAAAAACAAAAAAAGCTGTTCTTCCTTATAAAGGGTAGTACAGGGGGTGTTATTTTCTATTCTTTTGGGGGTTCTTAAGCAAGTAGTAGGACGTCACTGCTCAAGCATTTGAGACACCGAGCTCTGCACCTGGCATCCGCGCGATGCCCTCGGTGCATCCAGCAAGTCAATCGCAGGGAAAAGATTGCGGCTATACTCCCCTTAAAACCTTAATAAAAATACTATATTATAAATATCCTCTTGGGTTTTTATATGAACAAAAAAGTTCCCAAGGGTGATATAGTCGGTTCAGTCTCAAAAGATAGTGACGTGACATGTTGACATGCCATGAATATAACATGACATGATAAGACGTGATGCGTGTTTGGGGCGGTGGCGATGCTGTTGCAACCCAGGGCACCGCAGCGTGCGCAACATTTGCGGAACATAGCTTGGGTCCCGACAGCTCTGCAGCCAGTAGGAGTCCCACCGGGCCTCCAGGCATTCTGGGCACCGACAAGTTACATCTCGGGCGTGTAACCCTGAACCGTCCACCCCCCCACCACCCCCACCCCCACCCCCCCGGACCCCCCAAAAGTATGCAAGATAATAGCCCGACATGTTCCACACACTTTGGGGGTGGTTTAGGCACAGCCCTGAGCTCCAAACCCCTGACTGAACTCCTGCTTTTCAACGCCCGGGAAGTTCTTTTTCTGCTCCTGCAACCGAACTGAACTTGGGCCCCTAGCAAAAATGTTCATAATTCCTGCTCATTCTTAGGAATTTCAGCCCCAAAATTTTAAACATGTTCCCCAAGTATCCCTGTCACAAGGAAGGCCTGCACCCACCACCAGGCAATCGACTTCCGAAGCGGTGCCCTGAGGAAGCCGGGCTCAACAAGCTGGGGGAGAGGCGTAGGGCTCAGGGCCCCTTAATGATTCGAATGGGTTTAGGGTTTAGGGTTTAGGGTTTCGGGTTTCGGGTTTCGGGTTTAGGGTTTAGGGGTTTTGGGAGTTATATTTCGTATACTTCATAAAGGGACCCTATAAGGGAAGACTATTAAGTAATTGCTCCGACCCCTATGTTAGGGTTCGGGGCCTGGGTCTGAGGGTCTGAGGGTCTGAGGGTCTGAGGGTCTGAGGGTCTGAGGGTCTGAGGGTCTGAGGGTCTGAGGGTCTGAGGGTCTGAGGGTCTGAGGGTCTGAGGGTCTGAGGGTCGGAGGGTCGGAGGGTCGGAGGGTCGGAGGGTCGAGGAGAGGGTCTGAGGGAGGGTCTGAGGGACTCATTCATCCTTCGGGAGGGGAGATCGCAGGAGGTCGAGGGCGCCAAGCGTCAGAACTTGGTGCGCTTTTCGACAACATGTCTTCTTTTTCTGTTCTGTGGGCGGAAGATGGCCAGCGCCCAAACCCCGAACTACAGCCAAATGAACAAAGTAGGGAAAGAGGCCAAAAAACACAATTGCACCTGGTCGGCGAGAAGTGGCCGCGGGTCCGCCATGGCTCAGAGTCAGCAGACTTTGGCTGCTCTTCACGGTAATCCTCGAGCCGCGGCTCCGGTGATGGAGCGGAAATGTCAGGAAGACCCACGTAGCATGCTCTCGTTCTAGGTGTCAAGCTCCACTGGCATAGATACTTTCTGGGCCAAATGGCTCCGACTGCAGCCTGAGTCACTCCTTACCCTGCCAGACCTCTCCACTCATTGTTGCACCTATGACCCCCAGAATACCAAAGTACCCCTGTAAAAGTTGCAATTTTTGCTGTTTCTTAGGAATTCCAGTGCCCAAAAAGTTAAATTATTCCCAAGGAGGACGTCCGTCGGACCGCTACGCACCCCTGGCCAATGCAGGCTAAACAAACATAGCTGGCAGCAGCGCCCCACCCATTCCAATCCCCAACCCCACAACAGTCTCGATTCCGCAACCCGATGGCTACAGGGTAGTTAGGGTATACTGCCTGGTCCAGCGTCTGCGAAGATCGTCTACAATGTTCCACACCTACTCCCTGCCTTGGTCCGAACCTAGGGTTTAGGGTTGAGGGTTTAAGCCCTGACTTGCAAGCAGCTGTCTCTCCCAGTTGCACCTGCTCCATGGCTCCAAACCATCTTGCTTGACCTCTCGGAATCCTTCCTATACGAATATTGTTATGACTATCATGATGATTCTGACTATTATTCTTCTTCTTAAACAGCTTCTTATAAAGAGGGCTGACAAGGAGAGCGTGTCGTCGATGGGCGCGCATGCACTGATGTAAGAAAAGAAGGTGGAAGTTGGCTTCGTGCACGGCGGCATAACAGAACTGTCAAAATTCCCCGGTCCAAGTTGAGGGTGAGCTGCCTTTGCAATGTTGCCCTAAACCCTAAACCCTAAACCCTAAACCTTAAACCCTAAGCCCTAAACGTGCTATGCCTGGAGATCAGGATCGCCTTCTGCTTCTTGCCCTCACCGCGTGATTGCTGGAGCCGAAGAGGAGCCACGAGCTCTGCGGGTGCCGGCTTCCAGGCTCTCTGCCTGGTGCCGACTGCGCTTCAATGTAGGGGCCTGAAGAATAATTAGAATAGAGTCATTTTTTTTTTTTTTTTTGGGGGGGGGGGGGGGGGTTACTACAGTATACTTATAAAGGGATTATAAGGGAATACTATTGGCAAATATTCCGACCCCCACAGTACCAAGCCTGCAGCCCTCAACCCCAAATGTAGCTTGTGGCACTTGTCGTGGACTGTGTTGGTGGCGCAACGCCCATTCGGCAGTGTAAGACTAAGTCGTTCGCGGCACTTGACTTGACACTTCCTGATGTTGACGGGTACGCTGGCTCTGTCAGCATTCAGGTCCATTTATGCTGGACATGCTTGCGGTCGCCGTGACTAGATCTGCTGCAGCAAGTAGTGATGAAAAACCTGGCTGCCTGCTTGACTACCCTAAGGGTCCATGTACCTATATAGTACATTCTCGGGCCCTAAAGCTACTGTATAGGAACCCCTTTTGAGGCCGAGTTAAATACCATATTAGGTACATGGAACCCTTAGGGCTAGCTGCAACAAAGCATGGCGCCGCCCCCTGCGAGACCTTTTACCCGCGGAGTTGCACCTGAATTCGGTTGAGGGCGAGTTCTGGCAGGCTTTGCTCGCCCGGGCCATATAAAATGTGGCTAAGATGTGGCTTCTCAAAGGATCGAGGCGAACTGCCCGAAAATGCAAACTTCAGGGTCAATTCAGGGGGGCCTTGCACTCCCAAATATCCGATCACCCCCGAAGTGGTTGATGAGGCTGGCGAGAAACTGATCATGCAGTGCCTTGTCTCCTGCTCCTGCAGCATGCCACCATGCAGCCCAATGAAACACATGCAGTTTCATACAGGCGGACTAGCTACCAAACCGCGCGTAGAGAGTACTGAGTGCCGACATCTTGCAGCTTTCGTCTGGGACTCTTGGGTGTGTTGGAGGCACAATAGGCACAATGCATGTTCGGTAATATAGGGCCTTCATTGTTCGGAATAAGGCTTTGGAGGACATTGTAGTCGTTTTAAAGGCGAAACCGCAAGGGCACACCATGAGTAGTTCTTCCGACCCCGACAGCACGGTATATTGTGAACTTTCGACATGCCCCTCAGTCATTCAGGTCTAAAACCCTAAACCCTAAACTCTAAACCCTAAACCCTAAACCCTGAACCCTAAACCCCAATCCTCTGACAAGCCAAGTTTGCTCTCGGGTAAACGAACAGCTGCAGCTGCTTCCGCGGCGAATCCTCTTAGACCCAATAAGGGAAGACATGATCTATCCCCAAGGGACTACCTCGTCAAAGCTTTTCAGCGTATGAGGTCTGACGTGCCACTTCTTTAGCGGGAGGCAGTTGCAACGAACAACGCCGGCAGACCTGCAGGTGGCAAACCCTGTTGGAGTGCACTTCATGAGCACTACAGCATACTTAAGTATACTTGGCTCTTGATCCAATGTGGGGCTACAAGCAACTAGCGTGCTGTTCCCCAAGCAGGGCCGAGGACCTTCGCAGCTGGGGCGTGCTCCTGTGTTAGGGTTTAGGGTCTATAGGGTATAGGGTTTAGGGTTTAGGGTTTAGGGTTTAGGGTTTAGGGCAGGTTGCGCATGCTGGTGTGCGACTGGCCCGCTGCCCAACGGTTTCGTCAGGCAGCCGAAATTTCGACGAGCTGCCCCTGAGCGGGCAACTAGATAGGAACATTAGGGTGAAAAAATTCAAGCATCAGCAAATGAGCCTTTGGGAGTCGTGCCCTACCTGCCTGCCTGATCCTACACAGCCAACTGCCTGCATCCACCGCCATCAATCCATGCTTCCCAAATGCTCGGAAGCATCGTTCGGTACAGGCAATTGTTGTGGAAAGCGGGGCACTGGCGTGTACCTCAAGAAACTAAAACCCACATAAAAGGACTCGTAGGGAGCCTACAGAAAAGTCGGTTTTGGGTTCTGGAGGTCTGTATCAGAGCCTTGCCTGTGGAGGAGCCATTTTCCTCAGGATGCCACTCTCAGCAACACGCCCCTCTCGCTGGCTTTCGTTTCTTGCTCCTGTGTTGGGTGCAGAGATGTACACGAAATCTCAGTGTGTAGGCTTAGGCTTTAGGGTTCAGCGGATGTACGGCAAAGAACGCTCGTGCTCGGCTTGTCTTGAAGTTCATTGTGTGCCTCCTGTACTAGAAGTAAAGCGAGATGAAGCCCACTGGGTCACCTCGTAGCAATCTGTCCCTAGACCCCATCACCCTCATCTTAAACTACCCCCTCCACCCCCCTCCACGCCCAAAGAATGAGTCATAATTGTTCATATCGTACTCTGTAGATCCGAGAGTCTGGAGCTCTCTCTCAAATAATGTACAGCAGAAGTTCGCAGTCTCGAGTGCCCCCTTCCCCGGGGCTCTTCTCTTTGGCCATGGCCCGAGGAGGGGCTTTTGGCGCCGGCAAGGTCTCCGCGCGACCTGCGTTTCGGTGTTCAGGGCTGCACTGAACTCTCCGAGCCCCTAAAGCTTCAAGCAAGACAAAGCAGCGCAAGCCCGCCGAAACTCAGCAGCTTTTTGTAGCAGGAGAGCCCCCGACACTTTTGCGCAGTCACTTTAGCACCCTCTATTGTGCTGGTACACCTGCTGATTCGCCTTGAAGACACCCCTAGAGGGATCCGGTAGCCCCCTTAAGCCGTCCTAAATTCGCCTTGCCTCCGAGCCCAAACTCCCGCTAGACAACCTCCAACGGGCCCCGTAGAATGTCGGGCCACGAAGCGACGCACACCATTCAGAGGGGTACTCGGTACTTGGCGCCTTCAAGGCGCTGCCGCAAGAACTGCAACCTCAACTCTATGAACCCTATGAACCTACAAACCCTATGAAACCCTGTAAACCCTATAAACCCTATAAAACCCTACGAAAACCCTGTAAACCCTATAAGCCATTGAAACCACAAACCCGCAAGCAGGCCGGCAGCCGCCTTCTGCTTTGCCAGGCGCCGGGGATGCTGCCTGGGAAGGCAGCGCTGATTCAGAGTTTAGGGTTTAGAGTTTAGGGTTTAGGGTTTGGGGGTTAGGGAGGATTCCGCTCTGCAACCAAGATCTTTGGGATTAAGCGTGGAGGGAGTCCTTTAGCGGAGATGTCGGATCTTAAGGCGTTCTCAGGGTGGTTCCTAGGGCCTATGCGGTTGGCAGTAGAACCCGCTTGGGGTAAGGTATCAGTGTATAGGCTTCAGATTTCCCTGAATTCAGAAGGAGTGCAGCCGGAGGTTCTTCCCCGTGATTCTTAAGTTGCTTTCTAGAGACCCAGCATAGCTTTGCTCAGGTGGAAGAAGCTTGTGCAACGTGGTCCCTCATCTCTGCGTCGCCACGCCCTCAAAACCGACAAGCTCTTGCACCCAAAAGTGGAATCTGAACCCCAAACCCTAAACCCTAAACCCTAACCCTTAAACCCTTAACGGGTACCTCGGGTTGCCTTAGGTGCAGAACTGTAGAAACCGACTCTTGCACAAGGCCTTCTCCGGAGCTGGCGCCGAAACACCTCTGAGCAGGTCGCTTGGGATGGGCCTTTTTTCAAAGCAGAAGGCTGGTGAGGGTTTGGGGTTTAGGGTAAGTTTAGGGTTTTGGGGTTTAGGGTTAGGAGGGGGTTCGGATAGGTGTTTGGGACGACTGGTAGGAGTTCTGCAAGTTGGTAGCTCCCACAACCTCCTGACAGGCGTGCCCCTGGATATCAGAAGAGTGAAGTGAGGATCTCCTATCGGCCGGAGAATGGCTCTTGCAAACTGGCTCAGCTAGGGGTACGGGGTTTTGTTAAGGGCCTGAAATCCAGCCTAGGGGTTCGGGTTTTGGGGTTTGGGGTTTAGGGTTTAGGGTTTACGGTTTAGGGGGAGCATGTTTAATCCACTAATTAATCTACCTGCTTCAGAGCAACGGCAGGTCGTTACTTCACGTGCTGCCCTCCTGGCTCCTCCAAAGGCGCTGGCTTTGTCTAAGGGGAAAACCAGTGGGGGGGGAGCAGCTAGTGGGGCGTTTAGGGTTTAGGGTTTCGGGTTTAGGGTTTAGGGGCAGCCGGATCACTCGAACGGTACGGTAAAGGCGGACACGGCAACGCGAAGTTTGACGAAGCGCGGGCGGGGTTGTACAAAGGTCGGCGGCAAAGACGAAACACCCCCACAACTAACTGCTCCCCCCGTTGGCTTTGCCCTGACTCTCTCTGCAGCCTACTGCTCGCCAAAGAAGCATCATGCCCTCGCCCGACCGGCAGCCTAAACTCGCGACGTGCGCGCCGGCCTCGCCCAATCTCCCTTCCTTTGGACTGACTCTGCCCAAAGTAATCAAGTCATACTATGAAGCGGTATACGGTGTTGAAGGATATCCCGGAGCTAAGGGGTACCCAGAGGGTCCATTTGTAGTACTATTATGGAATTAGGTACCCAAAAACCATACTAAATTGGGTTTTGGGGTACCTAATTCCATAATGGTACTACAAATGGACCCTCTGGGGTAGTATATCATGCCCTGGGTCCAAGGCCCAGTGGTGCTTCCGCCGTGGCTGCGGTTGGGCTTTGGCCGCCACCTTGCTGGGAGTGATTTCTAGGGGTGGGGTTTGGGGCAGCCCCTTAGGGGGTTTAGGATTCTGCTGTGAGGGCCACATTGCGACGGTTGGGTTGGGGAGGGGGGGGAGGAGGAGAGTGTGGGGAGGGGGCTGAACGTTCGACTCTTGTTGTTTGTGTGGGCTACGGGATACGGCGCGGGTTGCAGGGCGCCTGGGATCTGGCTCCCTGGTTGGCGCCTGCCATCGAGCCCGACGACGTCTGTCAGGGTCTGGGAGTTCATAACCTCGGAAGTGCCTGGACCTAAACTACTTGGAGGCCCATGGTACTTATTGCCCAATGACAACTGTACTTCTAACCCACTTATAAGCCCCTTTCAGTGCCCCAATATGGCTTTAATTACAGTTAGAGGTACAGATATATTTGGCTAACAAGTACCATGAACCTCCAAGTATCCCGACACCTCGTCACTCATCGCAAAGCCCTGCTCCCCAGGCACAATCCCTAAACCCTAAACCCTAAACCCTAAACCCTAAACCCTAAACCCTAAACCCTAAACCCTAAACCCTAAACCCTAAACCCTAAACCCACTGGCTCCAAGCTGCTGTGGCTTGCTGTCGCGTAGGCTGCAGGATCTGAGTCGGATGATACAGGGGCCTTAATAGTTAGGATAGGGTTTCGGGGGTTTAGGGTTTAGGGTTTAGGGTTTAGGGTTTAGGGTTTAGGGTTTAGGGTTTAGGGTTTAGGGTTTAGGGTTTAGGGTTTAGGGTTTAGGGTTTAGGGTTTAGGGGGATAATTCTAAAGGGGCCATAAGGGAATACGATCAGTTCTTGTTCCGACCCCTGTTTTGATCAGGCTAGGGGGACTCGGGTGGGAGGTCAAAGGGTTCGTCTAAGCGCGGTGAGTGCTCGCAAGTGAAATTCTCACGTTATGTAGTGTGCACCGTACAAAGAAAGGAAAGCGTTCTTCCTGCTACAAACGAGTAGGGGGTACCGTGCACCACTGGGCCTTACAGCAAAGCCTCCGGTAAGGAGGATGCTCGTTGCGGGCCTGCTACGAAGGAGCCCGTTGGAGGTGGCAGCGAAAAGCCTGGGACAGGCAAAAGGAAAGGCTTGCACTCGGCGGCACTTATTCAGAGTGGTGCTCTAAGTGGGGGTTTCGGATTTCGGTTTAGGACTTGGGCTTCAGTTTGCTGAGGCTTTAGGGGGCGGGGGGTGGGAGGCTCTCTAGACGGCCCGTCAGGCAACTCCGAGCTTCGACTTTAGCTTTGCTTCCAGTTTTTAGAGTTTAGAGTTTAGAGTTCAGGCTCCAGGGTTTGGGTTGCCAAGGTCAAAATTCAAGCTTGGGGCTGCCCGAACAACCCCAAACCCCGAGAACGGGGGCCGCATCGTACCCCAAAATCCTGCAACCTTTCCTACGTCCTACGCGACTTTGTTCGTGCCGGGGGGTGGGGGCGCGAGCAACGTATGTGTATATATAAATATATACACATATGAACCATTTATATACATATGAACCATTCAACAACTCGACCCCAACACTGCCCTAGGCTCTAAACAAGCCCAGAACTCCTAAATCCCCAACCCTATGAGGCCTTCACCCCATACACCCTCTAAGGCATGTAAGCCGCAAACCCAATGTGCCCCACAACTCAAGCTCCTCTAAACCCAAATTGGAAGGCCTATACACCCTACAAGCACTACAAGCCCGACTATAAACCCTCTGAGCCCCTACAACCCTAAACCCCACAATCCTAAACCCTAAACCCTAAACCCTAAACCCTAAACCCTAAACCTCACAAACCTCGTAAAAACCCCGGCCTCCGAAGTTGAAGCTCCCACCCAGTAGACTTGGTCCTTCGCTTTCTGAACTGGGCTGAGGGCTTAGGTAGGTTTAGGGCTTAGGTAGGTTTAGGGTTTAGGGTTCTAGGGTTCTAGGGTTCTAGGGTTCTAGGGTTCTAGGGTTCTAGGGTTCTAGGGTTCTAGGGTTCTAGGGTTCTAGGGTTAGAGGGTTATAGGGTTTAGGCTTAGAGGGTTAGAGATAGAGGGTTAGAGGGTTAGAGGGTTAGAGGGTTAGAGGGTTGGAGGGTTAGAGGGTTAGAGGGTTAGAGGGTTAGAGGGTTAGAGGGTTAGAGGGTTAGAGGGTTAGAGGGTTAGAGGGTTGGAGGGTTGGAGGGTTAGAGGGTTAGAGGGTTAGAGGGTTAGAGGGTTAGAGGGTAGAGGGTTAGAGGGTTAGAGGGTTATAGGGTTTCTGGGGTTCTGGGGTTCTAGGGTTCTAGGGTTCTAGGGCTCTAGGGTTGTGGGGTTATAGGGTTCAGGGTTACGGAGAGCGCTCAGTCCTTTCGTGTCGAGTGAATCATGAGGTAAACGTAGCGTGGATTGAGAGACGAATCTTGTCAGCTGGCGCCTTGATTGGGAAGCTATTCTTTTACCAATCGTCCTGGAGGACCAAAGGGAAGGTCTTAACATCACGAAATCTGCATCTGAAAAAAAGCAACTAGCGCGTGAAGATATGAGTTGTATGAACCCACTTGAAGAACAAGCAACAGTAGGAAAGGAGTGAACAAGACAAAGAGAAAAAGCCCAGTCTAACAGCAGAAAAAGGCGCGCCGCGCAAACTTGCCCCTGTTCCTGTAAAACGAGATGTAGAGGCTCTTTGTTGTTTTATTGGGGTGCAGCTCCCGAACCCCTACCCCTAAACCTAAACCCTAAACCCGAAACCCGGAACCCTAAACCCTAAACCAGTGCACAAGAGCTCCTGAAAAGCTCGGCAGCGGAGATGGCAGCGGCGGTGGCACCCTGAACAGGTCGACGGCTGGAAAGCTTTGGGCGACAGCAATCGAAGCGTCGAGTTTCGAGCCATGAGACTGAGTCCTAAGCCCTAAACCCTAAACCCCAAACCCTAAACCTAAACCCTAAACCGTTCAACTGATGCTTCCTCCACAATCGACCCCTTAAGTGCCCAAAACGTGGAAGTGAGAGAGTGTGATCTCCAAGACGCGGGTTTTAGAACCTGGGGAGGGTCCGAGGCTTTAAGAAGATCTAGGGTTCGGGTTCAACCCTAAACCCTAATCCCATAGAGCTTAGGGCTCAGAGGGGGGATTTTGAAAGGTCGGCCTCGAGGAACTGAGCGTGGGTGCGCCAGGCGCGAAGGGCTCTGCCACGAAACTCCCAATGCTAGGGAATCCCAGCCTGGATGGGTTTAGGGTTTAGGGTTTAGGGTTTAGGGTTTAGGGTTTAGGGTTTAGGGTTTAGGGTTTAGGGTTTAGGGTTTAGGGTTTAGGGTTTAGGGTTTAGGGTTAGGGTTTATAGGGTTTAGGGTTTAGGGTGCTCAATCTTAAGGTCGTTGTTGGGATGTTCCCCCTTAGACTACAAAGTCCTTAGTAGGGACTATAGTACCCCCTAGTAGAATCCCTAGTAAGGACGGTTAGTATAAGGAGGAACATCCCAACATGAGCCCTTATATCGGGCTTTGGGGGTTGAGGGGTTTGGGATTTAGGTGCTACGGTTTAGGCTTCATGGGTACTCTTCAGTACGGTCACAAAAAAACCCCAAAAAGGAGGGGGCGGGGGGTATAACCACTTCAAACGCTAGTTACCCTTAAAACCTAACCTTACAAACCCTAAACCCTAAACCCAGTGACAAGCGCCCATGATCCGACAAAGTAGACTCGACAAAGTAGACTCTCCTAGCCCTGAACCCATCGGGGCAGTTCTCAACATTGTGGCCGGGTGCATCTAGCACGGCAGCTCACAAAATGCCCCCCCCCCACCCATTGTATGTGTATATATATATATATATTTAGAATCATAACAAATAATAATAACAATAAAAACAAACTAATAATAATAATGATAATAATACTGACTAAACCACAAAAAGAACCTTAACTTAGAGAACTACCCAAACAGAAGGCTCCGCATTGCAGTTGGAAGCCCACATGAGAGCGGATGATCCTGGGGTCCTCGTCTCTGTTGCTCTCGCTTCGTTCCGACAAGGGCCTGAACACTGAACTTGGCCCCTATGGAGCCCCCTTCTAAACATAGTCCTCAATCAGAATCCTCTTAAACCCCAAATAAAGGAAACATTTACTACACATCATCCTCTTAAACCCCAAAGAAGGGAAACTTTTCCTAGGACACAATCCGCTTAAACCCCAAACAAGGGAAGACAATGAAAATCATCTTAAGTGCCTCTTACTATAACCCCAAATGAGGGAAAGTACGAAGACATTATCACAAGGGCCTCGTAAACCTAAACCCTTGACCCTAAACCCTAAAACCTGAACCCTAAACCCTAAACCCTAAACCCTAAACCCCAAACCCTAAACCCTAAACCCTAAACCCTAAACCCTAAACCCAAAGCCGGATCTCTGGGGCGCAGGGCGGATTCATACCAGCACTTCCGCATCCGCCACATCCCGAGCTGTAAGCTCCACCTTTTTACTTCGGGCGTGGCTTCGCAGGGTTTAGGGTTCAGGGTTGAGGGCTTAGGGTTTAGGGTTTAGGGCTACTACGAAGAGGCCCTATACTTCTTGACGCCTCCAGAAGCCTTCCCTGAGATGTGTGTGTGTGTGTGTGTCAGTGTTAGTGTTACTACCACTTTCAGGGAATTTCTGCGTGGGTCTTCTTGCCTTTTAGCCCCCACTGGCCTGAAAGAGGGAAGGGGTTCTCCAGGCCATGTCTTGGGTCAGACTTCCACGGGCCCATGGTTTGAAGGGTCCGCACCGAGACAAGTGGGGTTTCCGAAATTAAAGGGTACCTTATTGGGATCCCGACTATCGATATTAGGGCCCCCCCGATTTTCGTTAACTCCCAAGTGGGCTTTGCTGCCACTCAGATAGAAAATTTGCATTAGCAAGAATGGGCAAATTCATTCCAAATCCAGGTTGTTTTCTCTGAAGGCCCGAAAGACGAGCGTCAGCAACCCAACTCCGCCCCAACATCATCCAAAACCGCACCGAAAAAAAGACAGTTGCGCCCACCAACAAACCTCAAAGTGCCACTTGGGCTTACAAATCTGACTGAAGGACAAGGCAAGCAAAACAATAAAAAGGCAAGAAAGAGCCCCGCTGCTCACGCTGTTCACTGGCCATGCACGTCTTGGGAAGTCGTTTAGCTCGGTTCATCCTTCCAAAAATAAACGCGCAGACTCCATGCGCTGGAGGGTGTTGCAGATCTTGGAATGGACTCTTGAAACCGCTACATCTGCTAAATCCGCCAAATTCGGTTACCCTAAACCCTAAACCCTAAACCACAAACCCTAAACCCTAAACCCTAAACCCTAAACCCTGAGTCGCATACTGCTACTCAGGCAGGGGCATCTGGTGGGCGGTGGACCATAGGAAACCGTGCCACCTGGTCAGGACTTCAAGCGGGGGAATGGGGTTTTGAGGCCTTGTCGGAGCAGCCCAAACGACTACATTACTGCTGTATTCTATATTTTCTTATAATCATATATATATATATAAATATATATATATATATATATCCCTATATGTCACTATATTATGCATTTGAGAGAGGTTCACAACAGGGTTTGGGACGACCCAGAAGAACTGCCCACCTGAGTAGGTGTCACCTTTGTTGAGAAGACCCGAGTACCTGCGCTGCTTGGCTGGCTATGAGGCAAAAACTTGGAACAGCGATTCAGCTTCCAGCCGGCATGCGCTTGTGATTTCATGACGGCGACAGTTCCGGTATGCACACCGGGCACTTTACTTGGACCCCGGAATGGAACCAAAGGCAGAGCCGAGAATGTCTGGATTGAGGCCTGAGAAAAGATCTTTGCAATCGGATTCTCTAGAGTATCGCCTGGCCATGATTCCTGCCGGTCATGTTTCGTTCTGATTGACACGACACAGGCGCGGCTACATCAACCATAGGCGCACGAGTAGCCGTTGCCGTTCGCGTAGCCGTTTGCGCAAGCGTAGCCGTTGCGACTGGTGCCGTTGCTACCCGCGAAGCTGCTGCCGTAGGTTCCCAAAGAAGGGCCTGCCACCACGCAAAACCGCATGGAACACATTCTGGTTGTAATGATATTCTTAATATTCATATAATAGTAAAAATCTATCATAACAGTAAGAAAAATAATACCAATAATAATGATAACAATATTAATGATATCAATAATTTTACAACTAATTAAATTTGGGTGCAAGAGAAGTCGCGCCAAGCTCCTCATCCCAAACGTGTTGAAACCTGCATGCCCTGCCCAGACCGGTGCAGCTAGTTCAAAACATCCGCGTGCCAGATGATCCCGCAGCGATCAGTTCAAGGGCTGCTTTGGACATGCGTACGGAAGACCCATCTGAACTTGGAGGTCCATGGTACTTATTAACCAATTTATAGCTGTACTTCTTACCCACTTATGATCCCCTGAAGTGCCTTAATATGGTGCTTAGTAACCTCAATGATAACTGTACTTATCACCCACTTATAGGCCCCTTAAGTGCCCTTTTAGGCTAGAACGGCAGCCCTCATGGCAGCTTGGCAACTTCGTCGGGTGGGCTTGAAGGGGACGCCCCCAGGCCGGTATCTTGGCGATGCGTCAGGGCTCATGTGTCAATGATTTAGGGTTTAGGGTTTAGGGTATCACAGGAACTGGAAACCTAAACAGGCTGGTAATACTTCGCTTCTTTATTAAGTCACTCTGTGTACGAACTGTCTTGTTGGTCCGCGTCGTTCCGAAGTAAGGACTCCTGTGGCGACGATGACGCTGAACTCAAAAACCCTTTGAGCCCTGAAGCGCAAAGACTGGCTCAGGAAAAAGACGAGAACCCTGGCGCAAGGTTTATCTACCATTTGCTTAAGAACACAAAAAGAAGATTCTTCCTTATAGGGGCAATATAAGGATTATTAATTTCAATTTCTTGGGGGTTCTTGAGCAAATAGTAGTTATATTAATTTAATTAAAAAAATAAAAATAATAATAATAACAATAATAATAATAGTAGATAGGAATCATGGTCAGCCGCCAGTCACGCTGAGCCCGGAACGGTAGGATCGATGTCCATCCCTGTACCAGTCGCCTGGTGAAGCATTCTGCGGGAGTTTAGGGTTTAGGGTTTAGGGTTTAGGGTTTAGGGTGGGACATGGTCCAACGAAGTTTACATGAATCACCCGCTGCGGCGTACACACCCGGGCTGCAAGCCCGGCCCTGTCAGAGCCCTAAGCCGCAAACATGAGTGTTCTTCTAAGTTTGGGTCCTTGCTTCACAAGCCAGAAACCGTGGGTAGAGTATGCTGCTTCGGCTTGCGGGAACAAACAAAACAACTCCTGGAGCATAAGAGGGGCCCGCCAGCGCCTACTTGCTGAGGGCAGCTTATGGGTGGCTGTCAAAATTATGAGCCCTTTTGGGGTACCCTAAATATTAGGTGCCGTATTATAATAGGGATCCAAAAAAAAAGACAATAATTTTGAGAACCACCCTTATAGGTTTCGCAGAGTTCCCACCTGTCAGGGCATCCGGCGTCTGCCGGCTCGGTGGAGGAGCGTACCTTCCGCAAGGAACTGGGGGTTTACGAGGAGAGGGGTACCCTTCTTGGGGATCCCTTTCCGGGGATGCTGTTCCTTTTTGGGGTATCACCCTAAACCCTAAACCCTAAACCCGATTTTTGGAAAAATGCCCAACGAGGCTTGAGATGGAGCCATGACCCGATTTCTTCAGCCAGTAGGTCTCTCTTCAGGGCTCCCGTACATTACCCAACATTAATACAAGTTTAGGGTTTAGGGTTTAGGGTTTAGGATTTAGGGTTTAGGGTTCAGGGTTTAGGGTTTAGTACTGAATAGCTTACCGGCTCTTAGGTATATAATCTAGGGGGATATAGGGTACCTAATTCCCGCATTCCCTACGAAGATCCAGTAGGATTGACCCAGGGTCTTCAGCTTACACGGCCCATTCTGGTGCTCATGTCCTCGAATGTCCAGGTCCTGGTGCTTCGGGTTTAGGGCTTTTAGGGTACGGGGCTTAGGGTTTTTTTGGCTTTTGGGAAGAGTTTCCGGGTGGCATGAGAGTTCATTAGATTCCCACCGGACACTGTATTCGACCTTTCATGGCTTTGCGATTCGTGCCATCCTTAAGCAGACTACAGCTGAGGTGTTAAAAGAAGGCGGTCGTCTGAAACACATCACATCATCTCACTTGAAATGGCAAGTCTGCGTGAGCAGTCCCAGGCGCGGTGCCAATAACTCTTCCTGCTGTTGCTGTCGGCATGGCTCTGTGACTATAACCGACTTTATACTGCAGTTCTTGCCACTACTCTGCCCAGTAGCCTAAACCCTAAACGCTAAAGTCCTAAACCCTAAATCCTAAACCCTACAGACCCTAAACCCTAAACCCCTAGACCCTTACACCCTAAAACCTAAACCCCTAAATCGTATAGATCCTAACCCCTAAACCCCTAAACCCTAAACCCTAAACCCGAAACCCTAAACCCTAAACCCTAAACTCCCCAAACCCTAAACCCTAAACCCTAAACCCTAAACCCTAAACCCTAAACCCTAAACCCTAAACCCTAAACCCTAAACCCTAAACTCCCCAAACCCTAAACCCTAAACCCTAAACTCCCCAAGTCCTGAACCCTGAGTCCCATGGCCTGTCCAGCATCGGATCGCGGGGCACCGACCCGGGGACTGGCTCCTCGGACCACCTGCGAGAGAAGAGCGGAGCCTTGGGGTTTATATAGGCTTTAAAAGGATAATAATGAGAGGGTTTAGGGTTTGGGGTTTAGGGTTTAGGGTTTAGGGTTTCGGGTTTAGGGTTTAATTAGGGTTTAGGATTTAGGGTTAAGGATTTGGGGTTTAAGGAAAATAATGGGCCATTCTAGACCCCCAACAGCAACCTAGGAACAAAAGGGTTCCTGTTTTGGCCCAGCATACATGCGGCGTGCAGTGGGAACTTGACATCCGCACCTGAAGACCCACACTTCGAGATCAGTAGCCCTAAACCCTAAACCCTAAACCCGAAACCCTAAACCCGAAACCCTAAACCCTATGAACCCCCCCTGGTCCTACACTTCGGGCGTCAAGACTGGCAGCGCAGCGGCTCGAAAGCGATCCCGGGCACTACCAACAAGCCGGGAGTTGCCATGTCAGGGTTCAGGGTTCAGGGTTCAGGGTTCAGGGTTCAGGGTTCAGGGTTCAGGGTTTAGGGTTTAGGGTTTAGGGTTTAGGGTTTAGGGTTTAGGGTTTAGGGTTTAGGGTTTAGGGTTCCGAGTTCAGGGTTCAGGGTTCAGGGTTTAGGGTTCAGGGTTTAGGGTTGAGGGTTCAGGGTTCAGGGTTGAGGGTTCAGGGTTTAGGGTTGAGGGTTTAGGGTTTAGGGTTTAGGGCGGGTTTAGGACTCATGACAACACTACGCGTGTTTAGGGCTTGGGGTTTCTCAGGGGGACAAAAACCAAACCATGACCCATCCGCACCAACTAAACCCTAAACCCCAAACCCTAAAACCATAAAACCCTAAACCCTAACCCCTAAACCCTAAACCCCAAACCTTAAACCCTAAACCCTAAAACCATAAAACCCTAAACCCTAACCCCTAAACCCCAAACCCTAAAACCCTAAAACCCTAAAACCCTAAACCCTAAACCCCAAACCCTAAACTTACAAGGCTCTGCCTGTCCCGCGATGCGCTCGGGTACGCCATCTGACCTGGGGACCGCTTCTTTAGGGTTTAGGGTTTACTGTAGGGTTTAGGGTTAGGGTTTAGGGTTTAGGGTTTAGGGCTTAGGGCTGAGGATTCATAACTTCCTCGACTCGAAGACGTCCCTCTGCTGTCAACACCCTAAACCCCAAACCCCAAACCCCAAACCGTAAACCCTAAACCCTAAACCCTAAAACCTAAACCCACCCTAAGCCCTGCATACACCCATCCTACACTGTTACACACTGAACCCCGAAGGCTAAACCCTCAACTCCAAAGCCATCCTGACAACATCCGAAGGCCTTCCCAGAACGTGCTTTGAAAACAAACCGACTGCCCCTCCTAAACCCTAAACCCTAAACCCTAAACCCTAAACCCGAAACCCTAAACCCTAAACCCTGGGATCCGGGCTTTCATGGAAGGGCTCTGCAACGAAGCTACCTGTCACACCCCAACTCATCGGAGAGTGAGCTTGAGCGTTTAGGGTTTAGGGTTTAGGGTTGAGGGTTGAGGGTTGAGGGTTGAGGGTTTAGGGTTCAGGGTTTAGGGCTTAAGGGGTTCCCAGAGAGCAGTGGAAGAACCCAAAGATGCAGCGATCGGTCCCAGGAAAAGTGTCGTTTAGGGTTTAGGGTTTGTTTTAGGAACCCTTAAGGGGATCTACTTTTTGGATCCTCCCAAAAATCTGGGTGGTAAAGCAAAATGAAAGATACTGACCACTGCACTGCCTCTAGACACGTCCCACTTCCCGTAGCTTCACAGCATCATGGAACGAAACCTGTCACACCTGCAACCTTTTGACTGCCGACGCCCCTCACCAGGCTATCAAACCCTAAACCGTAAGCCCTAGCTGGGCTGGCCTGCGGTCGGAAACGTGTACGGCGCAGGTGCCTCTCAAGAAAAAAAACCTTCGAACACTCCATTGAGGGTTTAGGGTGTAGGGTTTATAGGGTTAAGGATTTAGGGTTGGGTTTAGGGTGTAGGGTTTAGGGTTTACCTAAAGGCTCTAATGTAGTTCCTTTTTGAGTTAGTTAAATGGAATTTTAGTATACTACCCCAAAAAAGGTACTACATAGGAGCCTTTGGGTAGGGTTTAGGGTCTAAACCGACCCGCCACTTGCAGAGACTTCAGGATTGACGGTTTTATTGGACAAGAGAGCACTTGGGGAAGGCAAAAGGGTCAGGAGATGGCTTTCTTGAAAGGGTGTCGGGTGGGCGCGGGGCAAGGGGTACGTGGCCACCCTAAACCCTAAACCCTGAAGGTTTAGAGCTGTGGGTTTAGGGGTTTGGGGTTCAGGGTTTAGAACCCTGAACCCCAAACCTAAACACTACTTGCACGCCATGCCTCGCGTGGGCGCGGTGGCGGTGGCGACTCAGTCACCGGAAGCCCTGTCCGATTTGGCAGCTCTAAGGGTAGTTCCATGTAGCAGGGATTATCATAGGGGGTACTAGAATCCCGATTCAGGACTGTTCGTATAAGGGAAGTTCAAATGCCCCCTTCATATGGGCCCTTAAAAGAGTACCCCTTACAAGCCTAAGGGACCATAATAAGGGCCCAGGTAACCACCGCCAGAGCAGCACCACCTAAAGCCGCCACGGTAGTAGCTCCCCTGGTTTTTACGAGGGAATGGGGGGAATTAGGTGCCCTAGCTCATCCCTTAAAGGGGATGTAGAGGGGGACATAGGGTACCTCATTCTCTCATTCCCTCGCAAGATCATGGCTGAAGTATTGATCCTACATGGGAGCTGGTTCGGTGTCTCGGCAGCTTAAACGCGGAGAGTTGTCCTGGAACTCAACTTGTGTTTTCAGACTGGAACCCTAAACCCCAAAAAAGCCTCATGATCAGCATTGAGTGCTGAGTAGCCCTAAACCCTAAACCCTAAACCCTAAACCCTAAACCCCAAACCCCGCAATCGTTCAACCCGCAAGTTCTTTGCCTGTGGCTGGAAATGGGTACGGCGAAGGCGAAAACGGTGCCTGAGTCGGATATGGAATCTCACGATACGCAGAAGCAACCACTCGTTTAAACGGCAAGGTGCAAGAGCAGCACGACTCTCCCCAAATGGGGGTTTCCGAACATGTTGGGGTACCCTTTCTTTTTTTGTTGGGGGGGGTTACTTTCAAAGGATAATGTAGAAAACAAAGGGGTTCCCCTATTTTCGGAAATTCCCAAATCCTGCTAGAGACATCTACATCGGCAACTCAGCCGGATGTCTAGAGGTGTAGAGAAGAAGCACCAGTCCCTCATTCGTCCGGAACCGTATACCTGCGCAGTGCGGCTTTCGCTTTGCGGCTTAGCTCTACAACCTGAACAGCCCGAAACCCCAAATCCGAAGCCTGAAGACTCTGCTGTCAGCCCGCCAGGGCCGCAATTGAAAGACCTTAAACCCGAAACCCTAAACCCCAAACCCTAAACCCTAGACCCTAAACCCTAAACCCGAAGTGCTTCGCACCTCCTCCCCCAAGGTGGGTCGAGCCGGCACCTCAGCGGCTTGTATGTTTATGAACAACAGTATGTTTGGCTGACTTTAAGTTCCTTAACAAGAAACCAGCAACTGAAGCGGCTTCGGGCTTTAGGATATAACCAGCTCAATCGTGAGGGTGAGACGCAAGCCTATGGGCCAACTTAATCCGCCGGAGCATCCACTAACCCTTATAACACATCTTAACACCAGCGCCAGCCCTTGCATCATTGCCGTCCCGTGCTTGAAGCACCCTGAAGCCAAAACGCACCTGTGTTTCATATGATTCATATGTAGTTCCTTTGCCTGGCTGGCCCGATCATGCGGTCCTTTCCAGCCTCTTTCGTGGGAACCCAGCTGAGATTGGACACCCTAGCCTCATTCCCTCTGTGTTTCTGTCGCATACTACGAGGATTACGGGTGCTCCACAGGTGGGACGCCCAACAAAATGTCGGCTTTGGCCGGCTTTGGCAATTGTTTCCGGGTCCGAGGTTTTGGCTTCGCCATGAATCCTTCTTGTTCCTATGGTATACCTATGGCATCCGATCTTTTGCGTGTGCATCTGTGTCTAGTCCTCAATAGTAAAGATGCTTTCTCAGCCGTTTTGGCAGATAAGTATCGTGCCGGGTAAACCCAGATTCTTCTGCCTACGCAGCCCAAACGCACCAAAAGCCTCGAAGCCCGAAAAAAATCGAGGGTTGCCCATTTGGGCTGGGCGGCCAGGCCAACGAACTTTACACACGCGAGCAGTCGCGCTGTGCGCAGAGGTGTTGAGGCCATGGGCGGTTTCAGGACATGAGCTTGGAAAAGCCAGAAGATGAATGTCCAACTGGTTCTTCGAAGGGAATGAGGGAATTAGGGCCCTACATATACCCTTTAGGGGCGCAGATAGGGCCCTCATTCCTTCATTCCCTACTTAGAACCAGCCAGATGTCCCCACGGGCTGTTCGGATCCTCGAGATTTTTCTTGACAAGGACCCTCGTGGCTCAACATGCTCAAGGGCTTCAAGGTCAAGGTCCCATGTGAGGACTCACCTCATGAGCTTCAAGGCTTAGGGCTTAGGGTTTAGGGTTCAGGGTTCAGGGTTTAGGGTTTAGGGTTTAGGGCTAAGACAGTAGCTTAGGGGATCTACCAACCCCCTGCGCAGAATGCCTTGCTCGCCAAGGGCTGAATTCTGGGAATTTGGATTCATGGCTTCCAAGACTTGCCTATACTCCCCCCAGAACCTTAATAATAAAAATAGTATTGTTCATATCCTCCTGGGTTTTATATGAACAAAAATAAAAGCAAGTAATTCTCAAGGGGGATATACTTTGCAATTGCAGTCATGTTAGCCCATTGCGCGCTCCGATTCCGGAAGCCCTCGATCTGGCAGCCACAATTGCCCCAGGCTTTTGGCTTCAGGGTTTAGGGTTTAGGGTTCAGGGTTTAGGGTTAAGGGCTTAGGGTTTAGGGTTTACCCCCTACATTATGCCCTCCCCCCCCCCGAAAAAATTAAATAGAAAACTTGGCAGGAAGCAATACATCCCTGAAGACGCTGTCTTAAGAGAGGACATGAGGTCTGGAAGCTCCATGGGGGCCTTGACTTCAGGGGCTTCTGATAACAACCATAGCCTAAATAAACCGTCGACCCGAAAGCCCGAAAGCCCTAATGCCCCCACGGACCCTGAACCCAAGCAGGGTTCAGGGTTCAGGGTTCAGGGTTCAGGGTTCAGGGTTCAGGGTTCAGGGTTCAGGGTTCAGGGTTTAGGGTTTAGGGTTTAGGGTTTAGGGTTTAGGGCTCAGGGTCTAAACCCTTAACGACCCCCAAGCACCTATAGTCGTGAGTCTGAAGGTGCTCCACAGTCTGGCCGGCTGCCGGAACCCCGCGCGCACAAATAACAGACCCCGCCCCACTTCTCGGGCTGCACATGTCTAAGGGCAGGCTGGCGGTTGGCAGAACGTGACAGGGGGTTTAGGGGGTTTAGGGTTTAGGGTTTAGGGTTTAGGGTTTAGGGTTTAGGGTTTAGGGGGTTCAAGGGGTTTAGGGTTCAGGGTTTCAGGGTGTGTTTTTTCCGTGGCTTTTCATGGACTGCGTGTTGCAACTCACCAGCCTCGGCACTTGGGCCGTGCTTCTAGCACTGTGCTTTCCCCACACTTTGCGGGTACAGCCTGGAGTGAGGAGGGTCTCCATGTACATCTTGCTAAACTGGAGTGCAGAGCTCCTGCTTCGGATTGCACCCTTCCATCTTCTTGTCCACAACCGCGGCGACGCAAGCATCGCCGTAGACGTTTACACAGGTCCTCTCGAAGCCGGCGCAGGCTTTCCCCCCATGTGCGGTAGGTTGGGTAGCGGCAACAGCCTACTGTGACGGAACGAGATCTAAACCCCTAAGCCCTATAAACTTACAGTGAGGCGGGGGGGACGCACTCATATTCAAGAATTACAGGCTCCAAGCTGCTTTCATGCGTAAAGCCATGCAAGCCGTGCAGAACTTCCTGCACAACCTCTTTGAAAAGTGATCTATTACACTAGTAGAGTTTCTATATATATACACACATACACGTATGTATATAATATATATATATATATACATATATATATATATAGACACACATATAGGCGGGGGCGTCCTCACCCGGTCCAGGAGCCAATCCACGGCCGTTATCAGGCCGAACGTCTCAGTGACCGGGATGTTCCTCGAGTCGGTGGCTTCCAGTCTTCCAGCTCAAGAAGCTGGCGGACGTGTTCGGGTTTAGGGTTTAGGGTTTAGGGTTTAGGGTTTAGGGTTTAGGGTTTAGGGTTTAGGGTTTAGGGTTTAGGGTTTAGGGTGTAGGGTGTCGGGTGTCGGGTGTCGGGTGTCGGGTGTCGGGTTTCGGGGTTGGGGTTTGGGAGGGGGCGGGGGGGGGATTCCGAAATTAGGGGTGCCTTATTGGGGTAAGGGGATCCTGCTATCGGGGGATCCATATTGGGGGTCCCCTATTTTCGTAAACCCTAAACCACGCTGGGAGACTGAAAGCTCAATTGGCTCACAGGCTTAGGGCAGCGAGAAGCTTATGTTCCCAAAAGCACCACATCCCAAGTCGGCACAGACAGAAGGCCGGCATCACGGGAGGACGGGCAAGAAGGCTTGACTGGCGAAGTATCTGCGGTGTGTAAAATGAGTTTAGGGAAATGGGCAAACAGACAGATGGCTAGATGGATAGGTACCTGCTTTTGAATATCATTAGTAGGGAAGACATGCGAAAGACATCGATTGTACATGGGAATACCTCAGTCGTTGGTCTCGTCAGGCATGCCCAGTCAAGCCACGCGAAGTCATGGCTGAAGTGCAGACCAGCTTCAGCGTCGTGAGCAAGGTTGTCAGAAGCACCTTACCACATCTTCTGAGCTGTGCAGATGTTATGTGCTTATCAACCCCCATCAACCCCTAAACCCTAAACCCTAAACCCTAAACCCTAAACCCAACACCATAAACCCTAAACCCTAAACCCTAAACCCTACAGCCTAAACCCCAAACCCTAAACCCCAAAACCCCAAAACCCCAATCAACCCCCGATCAACCCGAAACGCATTGCGACGGAGGCTCCAGGCTCCCACTGGGCACCGGTGCAGAGCCCATGGAGCAAAGAGTGGCCATGAGGACCATGGAGGCATAGTCCTGGGGTTTATTTAGGGTTTAGGGTTTAGGGTGTAGGGTGTAGGGTTTAGGGTTTAGGATTTAGGGTTTAGGGTAGCGGTCTTAGGGGTTTCAGAAGGTGCAGGTTTGGTTTGTGAGCTGAAAGGGACCGCTGGTTTCACGAGCATCGGTACCCGCCAAAGTCCCAAAACTCTGAAACCCGCAATCTGACGCCCGCCCTTACTTATCATAAACTCGTTTAGGGTTCAGGGTTTTTAGGGTTTCGGGTGCCCCGAATCAAAACAACGCAATCCGGTTCCTCGGAGATTTTGGCCAACTTAGCGGGCCACATGGTCCGTGAGATTGAGCACCTCTTGTCCAAAACAGACCCTCAACTGCCTATTCCCTGATTATTTCCTAAACCCTACACCCTAAACCCCTAACCCGAAAACCCCAAACCCTGAAACTCGAAGCCCTTGAACACCCCAACCCTGAAGCCTCGAATCATGAAGCCGAAACCCGAGCTTTGGACTTTTGAACCCCAACCCCCCCCAAAGGCTGAACCCTACAACCCTATAATAAGTCCCAAAGCCCCTTAAAAGCCTAAATCAAAGGCTAGCAAGGCCAAAAAAACCGAAGTCCCCAAACCTAAACCCTAAAACGCACAATCCCCAAAACCCGAAACCCCCAAATCTCTAAACCCTCAAGCCCGAAGGACTACAACCCGAAATCCCTAAACCCGAACCCCTGAAGCCATCCTAACTATCCCCTTGTCAAGACCCTAAACCCTAAACCCTAAACCCTAAACCCTAAACCCTAAACGCTTCTTGCCAAAACCTAAGCCGAGGATCCCCGACTCCCAAGGTGATGCCCTGGAGTGCAGCGAGGAAGGAGGTGGCGCAGATCAGATACCTGGGACAGCGATCATCTGTTGCTAACAGAGCTGCGGTTTAGGGTTTAGGGTTTAGGGTTTAGGGTGCTCTATAGTACTAATTCTACAGTGTTAGCTGCACCTTCCATGGCCGCCAGAGAAGCCCCCGGCGCTGAGCTCGTGTGCCCCAAAGCTTCCGAAACCCTTGAAACCCTAAGCCCCTATAATCCCCAACAATATAGAAACAGGAAACAGGGTTTTTGAAACCCTAAGCCCCCAGAATCCCCAACAATATTGAAACAGGAAACAGGGTTTAGGGTTTTTCAGAGGGTTTGGGGTTTTGACTGCTGTGTTGCGACATTCGACAAGCAGCCGTGCGGGTGAAGTGAAGCGACTCGTCGAGATGTCGGGATTGTCCCTAAACCCTAGACCCTAGACCCTAAACCCTAAACCCTAAATAAACCCTAAACCCTCATTAGCCTTGGGAAACTCCTACAAGCTCTTGTCAACCCTGAGAAACCAAGCTTAATATGCCCTTCTGAACCCTTCATAAAGCCCCAAAACTCTCATCTCTTCTTTGCTTAATAACTCTCAACTTTCTCATTTTTTTTCGTGTGTGGGGGGCCGGGGGGGGGGGGTTCTTCAGCAATAAGTAGTCATCTAGAACCCCCACCTTGACGAGGGCTTTCCAAAGAATAGGACTTGGTGGGGGGGGGGGGGGGGGGGGGGGGGGGGGGGGGGGGGGGCTCCCCCCCCCCGCCCCCCAAAACCCTAGACCCGAAACCCTAAACCCTAAACCCTATGCCCTGAACCCTGAACCCTGAACCCTGAACCCTGAACCCTGAACCCTGAACCCAAACCCTAAACCCTAAACAAAAATCACGTAGGGACGACATCGAGCCAAGCCCAGATGCGCTGTGGTGCCATCCATGTTGATGGTGGCGCCCAGGTTCAGGACAAACTTGGCGATGTGCGGCGACAGGTTATTCTTATCCTTGGCTGCTGAAGGTTTAGGGTTTAGGGTTTAGGGTTTAGGGTTTGGGGTTTAGGGTTTAGGGATTAGGGTTTGGGGTTTAGGTTTAGGGTTTAGGGTTGAAGCCCCATGAAACCCTCAAATCGCGACCCAGAACCATCTCGGAAAGGGTTTGGAGCAAGAAGCCATGGAGGAATCTGTCTTGTCGGACAGAGGCACTTTTGATCGGAGGGCCGCCCTGTGCTTCGGACTGCAGTGTGTAGGGGTTCTCATGTTGATGGAGAGTTCGTGTAGAGGGCTGAAAGTTTGAGGGAATGACAGCACGAAAGGCTCTCCCAACTGTCACCAGACTGGCAACAAGCATAGGGCTGCCCAGAGAAGCGCCCTAAACCCTAAACCCTAAACCCTAAACCCTAAACCCTAAACCCTAAACTTTTCACAAAGCCCCTTTCCGACGCCGGGCCACAGTGGCGATCTGAATGTTCAGCGGCAGCGCCGCTGCGGAGGACGAGCTGCCCAGGGCCGTAAGCAAGGCCCTCGGGACTGCGAGCTACTGCCCCCAGCAAGTAGGTGGTGAGTTGAGGGGTTTAGGGTTTAGGATTTAGGGTGTAGAGTTTAGGGTTTGAGGGCTTAGGGTTTAGGGTTTAGGGTTACTAAGCTAGGCTTTAGGCTTGCTCAGACTTCTTGAGCTCAGCCCACTTGGACATGTGCTGCAGACATCTTCCTCCTTCTGCGTGCATGTGGCGGAAGACAGTTGGCAAAGTAGCGGATTGGATTGCGGCCTGCGGGGGGCACAGCCATGCCCGACAATAGCAAGCAAGAACAAGGCCAGCTAAACCTAACTCGAAGTATCAGAACAAGGCCGTGAGAGGGGAGGCGCCCAGGGGAAAAGCGCGGCCATGTCGTCCGGTGCTACCAACGGACAAGCAGACAAGCATGAAGCTCGCACAAGGCAGGCAATTCGAATGCACATGCCGTGGGTAAGCCGCACTACGTCCCAGGGACATCAAGGATCTCACCATTTAAGTCCACGACCTGAAATTCTGGATTTCTGAATCTTCGCCTGCTCCAAGCATCAGCAGCAGCGAAGAGAAGACGAACATGTGGACACCTGGCCCCGGATCTTGCCTAGAGAGCGAAATTTACAGAACCTTTCGGCCCAAAAAACCCTCGAACCCTAAGCTGCTTTCACAACTTTCCTAAGGGGCGGACGATTCTGAGAGCAACCTTGCAACCGACCCAAAAAATAAGGCGTTTGAGGCGGAAGCAGATGCCTGCCGCACAGAGCACGGCTGCCACCAGCCTGAGCTGGTCAAGGATGCTGATGCTGAGTGTAGTAAGTCCAAAAAAACCCGCAAAATATCCTACTAGGGTTTAGGGTTTAGGGTTTAGGGTTTAGGGTTTTAGGGTTTAGGGTTTAGGGTTTAGGGTTTAGGGTTTAGGGTTTAGGGTTTAGGGTTTAGGGTTTAGGGTTTAGGGTTTAGGGTTTAGGGTTTAGGGTTTAGGGGTAGGGTTTAGGGTTTAGGGGGTTTAGGGTTTAGGGTTTAGGGTCTAGGGTTTAGGGTTTAGGGTTTAGGGTTTAGGGTTTAGGGTTTAGGGTTTAGGGTTTGGGGGGGGAAAGGGTTTCCGAAATTCGGGGTACCGTACCTTATTGAGGTTCCCCTGTTATCAGGGAATTTCCTGCTATTTGGGGATCTATAATTGAGGGTCCCCTTGTTTTCGTAAACCCCCACATGCTGTAAACCGCAGACCCTTTCGTCCCACGTGCTTGTGCCCAGCCCACGGTCTTGAAGAATAAGGCTTATACCCTGCTTTGGAGTAGACCCTGGTTTTTTCAAATATTTTTAGGTATAAGTAGCTATAATAGGAACCCAGAACGAAACAATCATTAAAGTATAGCACTCCAAAACCCAGTAGAGATTGAGGCCTTCAGGGTTTAGGGTAAGGCAACGCAACGCAAGCAACGACACTTCCTGAAACACCGAAAAACCCCAGGCCGAAGCGCACATGAGGAATCCCTGCCCAATACCCTCTATCGCAGAGTCTAGTAAGGGTTTAAAGGGTTTAGGGTTTAGGGTTTAGGGTTAGGGTTTAGGGTTTAGGGTTTAGGGTTAGGGTTTAGGGTTTAGGGTTTAGGGTTTAGGGTTTAGGGTTTAGGGTTTAGGGTTTAGGGTTTAGGGTTTAGGGTTTAGGGTTTAGGGTTTAGGGTTTAGGGTTTAGGGTTTAGGGTTTAGGGTTTAGGGTTTAGGGTTTAGGGTTAGGGTTGGGGTTTAGGGTTTTAGGGTTTAGGTTTGTTTAGGGTTTAGGGTTTAGGGTTTAGGGTGAGGGTTTTAGGGTTTAGGGTTTAGGGTTTAGGGTTTAGGGTTTAGGGTTTAGGGTTTAGGGGGTTTAGGGTTTAGGGTTTAGGGTTTAGTTTAGGGTTTAGGGTTTAGGGTTTGGGGTTTAGGGTTTAGGGGTTAGGGTTTTAGAAATTTAGGGTTTAGGTTTAGGGTTTAGGGTTTAGGGTTTAGGGTTTAGGGTTTAGGGTTTAGGGTTTAGGGTTTAGGGTTTAGGGTTTAGGGTTTAGGGTTTAGGGTTTCTACACTCGCAAATGTCCAAAGTCGGAACCAGGAGGCAGGGCCACAGATGTCCCCAGATGCGCCAGGTCGAAGCGTGCGGCACTGCTGCAAACAAGGCTGCCCACCTCAAACCCTAAACCCTAAACCCTAAACCCTAAACCCTAAACCCTAAACCCTAAACCCTAAACCCTAAACCCTAAAACGGGACGGTGGGGGGGCCCCAACATCAGTAGCTCCAGACTGCTTAGAACCGACGATAACATGGTCGGCTATGCTTTCCGGGCTTCCCGATGGTTCTCAACCTCAAACAGTCCGCGGATAATACAAGCATCGCGCTTTGCATGTGGCTCTACGCTTTACGGCTTATCACATGCAGTGTAATTCTTCGCCTTCCTGCCTATATTCTTTCTCGCATATTAGCGTTGTCCTCCTTAGTTTTCTCATTAGGTCATCAAGTATGGTTCTTCCGCTTCCCATTACTGTCATTCCGAAACTCTGAACCCTGAACCCGCAGTTGAACTCGGACCATGGCATTCAGCACCTTAAACCCTAAACCCTAAACCCTAAACCCTAAACCCTAAACACAGCATGCTAGGATCCCGGCGCCCAGCGGGCTGAGCCAGATCAGGCCATTGATGACTTTCGTCACCACCTGCGTTCCACAAAGGCTTTAGTGAAGTGGCATAGCTGAGGTCTCGGCTTTAGGGTTTAGGGTTAGGGCTTAAGTGCGTAGCAAGACCCTTAACCTTAAACTCGGGGCTACAGGGCACAGGCTTCCAGCAGAGCTGAACTAGACTTGCCCACAGCTCACCTCCATTGTGACTCCAAACCCCAAAGCCTGGCAGAGAACCTGCAGTTCGGCGTCTTTTGCTTTCTGTCGCCAGAGAGGCGGAAGTAACATATCCTTAAAGCCTAAGAATCCCAAACCACTAAGCCCTAAACAGCCTCGAAGAACATGACAAAACAACCCTTTAACCAGCAAACAATCCCCAAGAAACAAAAACAAATCCAAAAAAACAAACCCTAAATTTGCTCCTCCTCCTACTCCCCTCCATAAGAACAACTTACAAACAGCAAGGTACCGCCAAAAAAGAACAAAATCCAACCCAGATGGTCTGATTATGTACTGGTGCCATATCCTGTACTTCTGCTAATAATCCCAATATTACCCTTGTAGGGAAGAGTATCTTTATTAGTGTTTTCTGGTAGGGGAGGGGGGGAGGGGGGGGGAGGAGCAAATAGTAGTGGAAGCCCTACCACTGACCACACACAAAAGCCAGTCGACAGCCGGGTTTCGGGTTTAGGGTTTAGGGCCCTAAACCCTAAACCCTAAACCCTAAACCCTAAACCCTAAACCCTAAACCCTAAACCCTAAACCCTAAGCAGGCCCGTGAGCCCAAGCCTCATTAATCTCATCGAGCAGCTCGAGGAGGATGCTCCTGCATCCAGGGTTTAGGGTTTAGGGTTTAGGGTTTAGGGTTTAGGGTTTAGGGTTTAGGGTTTAGGGTTTAGGGTTTAGGGTTTAGGGTTTAGGGTTTAGGGGCCGCAATGGTGATTCGAGCCACGGCTTGTGGTATAGGTGCAGTAAGCTACTAACGCGGAAGTTCGATGTTGCTTGGGCCCAAGGGTCAAAGAAGCCATCAACCGCCACAAAGCTGCAAACTTGAACAAGCTCTTGAAGCATGCGCCTTTTGCCGTTGGCACGCGTCACTCGAAGAAGACAGCCCGCGACAATCGCCTTGGTGTCAAAACCACAGCCCCACGCTGCATGCTTCAATTCCAAGCTGCGAAGTGAAACAAGGCCGGGCTGCCATCAGGATGACGGAGATTAGGTGATTCTTTGCTGCATCGTTCACCTCGGTCACATTTCTTGCCGTGGCGAACCATCAGTTCAGGCAATCAGCGTTGAGCACTCGGATCCCTCATGACAGGTGCAGCCCGAAGCAGTTGTGTTGTCCAGCTCTGTGGTTTTTGTGCTTGGAGGGGTGTGGCGCTTGGCCGGGGCTCACTCAAGGCGGATCTTTCTGGATGCCGCCACCAGCAAGTGGTGTAGCACCCCGGTAAACAAGTCAAAGAGCCGACAGCAAGATTGCATAATGTAGGGGGCGGAATAATTACTAAACAAATTCCTTTATGGCCCTGTGTAATTATACTAAAGTACGCCCCCCCCCCACCCCCCCCCCCCCCCAAAAAAAAAAAACTATTCTAACTATCCAGGCCTCTATATTACACCCACAATGCATCTGCACGCATAGCAACGGGACCACCTCTATGATGTTTGACAACAGCCAAAGGGCAACATTCTTCGGAACCAGCTGGTCGAATATGTTGAGGACCGTATCAAGCATCGACATCTTCTCCAACCCAGTGTCCTGGTGATTCGTGAAGACAGGCTGGTGCCAGGGGGGAGGGGGGGCTGCATCGCTGGGTGAAGGAGCTATACTCCCAACCAAGCCAGCGACCGTTTATGAGCCACCGCGTGCCACTTGCATGTTCTGTCCGAGGGAGCCACCGCATCTCTCCCCTACTCCGTAGCGACATGGCCAAGGTTTTTGACGCAAGCCCTCGAGATTTTGAGAATGGCTCATATTTGTTCCGGTCAAGGCTCCCGAAAGATCGTCCCGCACAAGCAGTCTCCACAACCCAGAATAACAATAACAGCTTGAATAGACCCAACACCCTATATAAACCCTAAATAGATGAATAGTCATTTCTCGAAATATGGTCTCTTATTAGCGTCACTATTATAAGGCGCCCAGGGGAACCCTCATATTTAGCAATTTAGGGTTTAGGTTTAGGGGCTTGGGGTAAATGGGACCAGAATTTCACCAAATGTATTTGGCTCGCCGCTAAACCCCTAAACCTTCCCTGCCTGGACCGGCGCCGCATCGACCGGCTTCAGCGTGGTACGCAGCAATGTCCAAGAAACTGCAACGCCCTTTCCAAGGGGACCTAAACCAAACCCTAAACCTTAAACCCTAAACCCTCAACCCTAAACCCTAAACCCTGAACCTTAAACCCTGAACCCTGAACCCGAAACCCTAGAGGTTGTATACGCACAAGGCTTAGGCTCCAGGGGGACAGAGGAGTTGTTGCCACCCTAGAGGCTGCGGAGATTATTCAAGGGGGCTTCCGATAGCAGGGCTACTCTTCAAGGGGGTTCAAGTATAAACTTGGGGGATAAAAGGGGTACCCCTATTCTTGGAAATACCCATTTATGTTTGTTTTGCTTGTGCCTGTTGTTGTGTTGGGGGGGGAGGGGGGTGCTCGGGCTGGGGGTTGAGGGTTGGGGGGGGGGGGAGGGGGCCGCATGTCTGCAAACCTTCATAACCAGCTACCTCTGCAGCACATGCGGGAGTTTAGGGTTTAGGGTTTAGGGTTTTGGGTTTAGGGTTTTGGGTTTAGGGTTTTGGGTTTAGGGTTTTGGGTTTAGGGTTTAGGGTTTAGGGTGGGCCAACACCCTCCCACCTCTGCTGCGGCCACAACCTGGGAGGTCGTGTAGCGATACTGCCCCCGGGATTCTCGCGACTGACACCCTCAAACCTAAACCCTAAATCCTCAACCCCAAACTCTTAAGCCCTAACCCTAAACCCTAAACCCTAAACCCTGAACCTAAACCCTATATGGTCCGAATCCATAACCCGAAATTCTCACAAGGAAGCCTTCCCGAAGACCTGGAGGGCAAGTGACCCAAACACAGGAGGCTTTCAAAAGCACCAGGACTGCTATTTGCTTAGGAACCCCCAACTTCTTTGTAAAATAACATACACTAACAAATATAAGAACAATAAGAACAAGAAAAATAACAATAATCCGTTTTAATTTATTGCCCTGAAAAAGAAGATTTGTGTTTGATTTTTTGGGTGTTCTTAAGCAAAAGCGGCAGAAGATCGAGGCAAAGGGCCAAAAGGCTTCCGGGGCAAAGGGTTCAACCTCGGGAGCCAGCTCGAGATGCCTTCTGCACCCAAGGCGATGCCCTCCCCCCGACTAGTTTAGGGTTTAGGGTTTAGGGTTGAGGGCTTAGGGTTTAGGGTTTAGGGCCTAGGGTTTAGGGTTTAGGTAAAAGGGTAAAAAGGGCGTAGATGCTGTGATGTTTGGATACGGGATCAGCTCGAAAGCTTCGTCATGCGCGAAGAGCAGCTCAGGCCCGATTGCAATCTAACATTTTTCTCCCACTCCACGCCGTCCCACGGCAAAGCCCCTCTGCTGCGAGGGCCCGGGACCTTTTGGCCGAGGGCCTTGCGGGTACCCTCTCAACAATGCCTCGAAGTCATCAGGCTTTAGGGTATTTACCTGTCCGGGCCCCACGTGGGCGCTGCCGACCTCCGAGCTGTGGGAGGTGGGCAAACGACCTGGGTCGGCTTGCGCCATCGAGGTCGAGGGGCTGCGGCGCCGCCCCCCCCCCCACTGTTGAGTTTAGGGCCCTGTGCATACTCTATGTGAATAACCTCACGTAGCGCAAGGGGCCTACTGGCACAACAAGAAGCCAAGCTCAAAAGGAACAGGACTTTCAATGAGCGGCCAGGGACCCAAAAACGACGCCCTTCTTGTTCGGTTGTTTGAGGATGACTAGACTATGGTAGATTCATGTTGACCTTAGCAGGTGCGGCCTGCCCAAAGAGAGAACAAACAGGAGAGAAACTGTCATTTACTGGGATTCCCCGGAGACCCGTCTGAACCCCCTTCAACGACCGACGGATACTACGTATTGCACTGTACACAAGTACATGGGCATGCGCTGCACTATCTTGTATTGAGGGGTCGCCGGACTCCACGCCCAAACGGCCAAACAATAAACTTCTTAAGGAAAATCATTGCACCAAAAAGTGATGAACCATCCCTCTAAACCCTCTATAAACCCACTATAAACCCTCTCTGAAACACAGCCGTTTAGTTTAGGGTTTAAGGTCTAGGGCTTAGGGCAACCTGGCCCAGGGGCGGTGGTGGTCGTGTACAGGCCAATGACCCAGATGGCAGCGCTGCGCGCGGCAGGAAGCTCCCGCATCATGACCTCGGAGTGGAAGAACCCAAAGAGCCCTAGAGCCCTAAACCCTAAACCCTAAACCCTAAACCCTAAACCCTAAACCCTTAACCTTAAATACCCTTCGAATAAAGGAATAGACTTGGGATGTTTCCCCCTGTACTAACAGTCCTTCACAGGCATTCTAGTATACGGGGGAACATCCGCAAGACTCGAAAAAACCTTAAACCCTAAACCCTAAATCATTTTGAGGATCCCTATATCAATTACGGCATATTCCTTAATTGAGGGGGATAGGGCTCCTTGGGAAAGACTGGGGCTGGCCCTAAAAGGTCTCTGAAAGATACTCCTGATACATACACAGAAATACGAAGATATACATATATATATATATAGATATCGATATCGATATAGATATATATATATATATATATATATATATATATTCATGTCTTCTAAAGGATCCCCCAGGTCCTACCTAGGCTGTGATGGATTTCAGATGGCAGGAAGCTGCGTGAAGTCCCCTAGACCCTAACCCCTAAACCCTAAACCCCAAACCCTAAACCCTAAACCCTAAACCCTGGCAGCTTGCATTGCGTGCTCTCACTGCCTCACTGCTCTGCGGCCGAGGGAGCCGGTGATGGCTTCAAGTCCAGGACTTTGAGTGGGTCTAGGGTCTAGGGTCTAGGGTCTAGGGTTTAGGGTTTAGGGTTTAGGGTTTAGGGTTTAGCGTTTAGGGTTTAGGGTTTAGGGTTTAGCGTTTAGGGTTTAGGGTTTAGGGTTTAGCATCTCTGGTTTAAGGAGGTTTAAGTGATGCTGTTACAATCCTAGGCACCCCCTTCTGAGCTGCCTCCAAGACATCAAAGTGATGCCAAGCTGCCATTGAATGCACCATGCCGCAGAAGATCATGGGCAGCACGACCTCAGATGAGGACGTCTCCCACCTAGCAATGACCCCTCACTTCTTGCGAAAGCCGCCAAGAGCCCGCCTGACACGCAAACAGTCTAAAACACACATGAGCACAAACACACAAACACACAAACGCACAAACGCACACACACACACACACACACCAAAAAAAAAAACACACACACACACACAAACACACAAACACACAAACACACAAACACACAAACACGCAAACACGCAAACACGCAAACACGCAAACACGCAAACACGCAAACACGCAAACACGCAAACACACAAACACAACCACACACACACACACAGAGAGACACAGAGAAAGAGTCACACAGAGAGCCACACACTGAGTCACACACAGTCACACGCACGCACGCACGCACGTACGAACGTAAGTACGCACGCACGCCCACCTGCCCGCCCGCCTCGCCCGCAAACGAGCGCGCGCTGCTCGCGCACGCACGCACACGCACACGCAATGCACACGCACACCCACACACACTCACACACAATCAGTCACACACAGTCACACACAGTCACACACACACACACACAGGTCACACACACACACACACACGCACACCCTGCGGTACCGTAAACCCTTGCACCCTAGAACCCCAAACCCTTCTTGAGTGCGGCTTAGTTTTTCGTGGCTTCCAGGCAGTTCGCAGTCAAAGGGGCTGATCGGTTTCTCTCAAAAGTATCGACTACCAGCTTGGTCGGGAAAGCTCGAGCCACGAGCACGAGGGTTTTTAGGCTTTAAGATGTGGGGTTTGTAGGTCTGGGCAATGCAATAAAGGGGCGAGCCACGAGCACGAGGGTTTTTAGGCTTTAAGATGTGGGGTTTGTAAGTCTGGGCAGTGCAATAAAGGGGTGCCCTTTCCGGTTTAAAGGGGCTAAGTGAGCCTGAACCCTGAAAAGAGAAAATTGGGCCTCGTTCTAATCGGAGAAACGCCAAGAAGCGCATTTCAAGGCCTTCAGCCACAGCTTGCCAGGAAAGGCCAAGATTTGGATGGTCTCTGACTCGGACGACAAGTTGGCGGCCTGAGACCCCCAGGGGAAGCAGAAAGAAATGACCATCATGGGGTCAGTTCTCTCAATTAGGGTCCCTTTTTGGGTTTAGGGTTTAGGTTTTAAGGTTTAGGGTACCCTGAATATTAGGGGCCGCCTGTTCATAGTAACCCAAAAGGGACCATCATTCAGAGACCTGCAAGAACATGCAGCAATCAATGGTCCTAGCTGCTGATAGGTAGCGCCCATGACACTTTTTATGGGCATGCAAACCCCGTCATTTGCAGCCTCATCAAACCACTTTACCATGGATGAAACCAGCGGTCAATCGCACGCATGTCCGGAATTCGTCAACGAAAACAAGAGGGCCACCAACAAAACGCACGAAGTCCCGAGCAATGCACAACTCACACTCGCGCAAGAACTCCTGCGGACATGACAAACCTCAGCAGTTCCCAGCGACAAGGGAGTTCACACAGGACAATGCCGCTTAACCAACCCCTGTAGGGTTCAGGATCTCTTGTTGGGTTTGGGGTCCTTAATAGGGAAAAAAAGAGTACCCCTAATGTAATTTCTATTGAAGACTGTTAGTACAAGGGGGAACATCCCAAGCTGTGACCCGAAGCAAGCCCCCCTTTTTCGGGACACGCCGCTAGCGAAAGCACGAGGCCGACGACCAGGCCGACAATGACCTCGGCTCCATCCACTGTTGTATCCACACTAAGTTGTGGGAGCCTGTTGTTTGCTATCTGCTTCTGAAAGGGGATATTTTGTTTTGGGTCTAGGGTTTAGGTTTTAGGGTTTAGGGCTTAGGGTTCAAAAAACCAAGAGGGCAAATTACATCATACTCCGGCATGCTCCCGCACGTTGCGAGCTATCTTGGAACCACCCTAAACCCTTAACCCTTAACCCTTAACCCTTAACCCTTATAACCCTAAACCCTAAACCCTAAACCCTTATAACCCTAAACCCTAAACCCTTACCCCTTAACCCTTTTAACCCTAAACCCTGAACCCCAGGGGTTAGCGAGGCACAAGTCTTGCTCTGACGGAAGGCAGCTCTTCATTACCTGACATCTGGGGGGTTACGAAGAGGAGAGAGCCCTAATATCGACCCCAACTAGCAGGATTCTCTGTAACAAGGCTTGGTAAGGAGCCCATTGAGGTACCCCTAATATTGCAAAGCCCCATATTGCTCAGAGGCTAGGAAGGGTTGAGGAGTCAGGGTACCGACATTCCGCGACATGATTATGGACAGACTCCAATAGTTTTTGCCCGCGTGCGTGGTGACTAAACCCTAAACCCTAAACCCTAAACCCTAAACCCTAAACCCTAAACCCTAAACCCTAAACCCTAAACCCTAAACCCTAAACCCTAAAGGTGGTCCAAGAAGCTCCAAGCAGCACGCGCAGAGCCTCGTTGTGTTGGAAGCGGCAAGGCAATGGGCACGGCGCAGCCTTTCGCGGCTCCTGAGCTTCTTTTAGGGTTTAGGGTTTAGGGTTTAGGGTTCAGGGTTCAGGGTTTAGGGTTTAGGGTGCAAGAGCATGGAGTGGGGGGAGAGAGGAGAACCTGGGGCGCCTTTTACCACACTGAAGGATTTATCGACCGAATGTCCTCCTACAGCGCACTTTCTTTCGCTGCCTCACCACCTCGCTCCACCTGTCCACTCTGCAGCCAACCCCCTCTCGAGTGGAGTGAGGAGCGGAACATTTGCTTCACAGGAGGTGAGTGATGAGGACAAGAAGAGCTGCTTGGGGGCCTCGGTACCCCTTCCTGCTCTCGTACCCATGTGTTTATGCTTCTCGGCCTTCTGAACCCATCACGGTGCATCACGCTGCACATGATCTTCGGCCTAGGCCTCTGAGTTGGGGCTTGCGTAGTCTGGAAGGTGATGGTGCAAGCAGAATAGTCTGGCAGTGGAAGCCCTCCCATCGCGCAAATTCCACAAGCCCTTAACCTCAACCCCCTAGCAATTCATCCGGAGGCCTCCGGCATCTCTGCTGGGCACTCTTGGCCAGCAGCCGCCATGGCTAGGAAGCTCGAAAGCGAAGAGGAATTAAAATGACAGCACACAACGGCCGCTTTTTTGGGCACAGATTCTGGGGTACAAAGCCATGGTGCCAAGCCACCGTTGGTTCCTCCACAGAACAAGCTCACTCTATTTATACATATACATATATATATATATACATATGTATATATATATATATACGGGAGTTTCATATGTATACATATATATACACCTGAATCTGGGCCAATCACCTCTGCAATGTTGCGATTTGCAGCTTTTCATGTGCATGTTGAGTGACACTCACCACCCCTCCAAGCTTCATCTGCACGGGCCAAGCAAACCCAGATTCCCAACCCGCACTAGGCACACTCAAACAAAATGTGTCAAAGAGCCATCACAACATGGCATCAAACACTGCATTGGTTCTACATGCAAGAACCCCGACTATGCGGGCCTGGCTTGCATGCCTGCTGCCCTGGGGTTCGAAAACGCAGATTACGGCGTCAAAGCTATGCTTGTGAACGTTTTGACCCTCCTTTTCACACTTAGAGTCTAACGAGTGCAAGCTGATTGCAAGTTGAAACACACAAAACCTTCCAACCTAGGGTCTCAAATTTTGATCTGGGCGCTCTAGATCAGAAAAACTCCAGTCTGAGCTGCTGGCAGGTCTGAAGGCCTCTAAGACCTGCCCAGGGCCCGGCGCTGCAACAGAGGTTCTCACGCTCTTGGGAGGCTTCCATGCACCGTAGATTTCCAGTCCCTTCCAACCGAACGAAGTGCGGGCCACACCAACCCTAAACCTTAAGCCCTAAACCCGAAACCCTAAACCCTAAACCCCAAACAGGGCCTCCGGCGGGCTCTGGGAAGGCGCCATCGGCTCTGGAAGTGGGCTGCCTGACGACCCCGAAACCCTAAACCCTAAACCCTAGACCCCGAAACCCGACACCCCAAAATGGGGGGGGCCCTCTCGGGCAGGAGACTGCCAGGATTTCTGACAGGTTGCCTGCGCTTCTAGAGCTCATATGGTGCATCTTCTGAAAAAATACGGGACAACATCTTCCAGTACTATCCCGGGATGTTCCCCTTATACTTAACAGCTCCGTAATCGGGATATAAAAATAAAGGGCCGTACTATAATCCCTATGTCAGTATAAGGGGGAACATGCCAAAGTATCCCCTTGCAAGATCCCGAAAATGAAGATGTGGACAAACTACTCAAAGTCCCCATTCAAATTGAGTACTCTTCACTAGGCCCCCCTATGTTACAGCCGGTCCGGTCATTTTACAAAAAACAGGAGCTTCTCGCCCACACCTCTCAAAACATCCACAGAGCCTGAATTCTAAGGGCAGTTGCATGGGCCCTTAATATGGTCCCTAACCTCCTGGGGTATACAAGGGGTACCCTTTTAAGGGCCCATACTAAGGGACCATGAAACTACCCTTAGATGAATCAAGAAACCTAGAAGAACTAGCAACATGTCAGCGCTGCGGGGCCCTAAACCCTGAACCCCAAACCCTAAACCCCAAACCCTAAACCCCAAACCGTAAACCTTGAAACCCTAAACCCTACAGTCCATTCCTCCTAAACATCGGCCTGGCATGGCGTGGGAGCCAAGGGGCCTCCGCACCTCCTTGCAGAGCAGCTTCAGACGCTCTGACTTCTGGGGGAGCTCGAGCTTCAACACGAAATTCAGGTTCAGGGTTTAGGGTTTAGGGTTTAGGGTTTAGGGTTTAGGGTTTAGGGTTTAGGGTTTAGGGTTTAGGGTTTAGGGTTTAGGGCTGAGGGTTGCCTTCAACCCTAGTAACCCTAAAGTTTAGGGGTTCATAGAAGCCCTAAGCCCCAAGACCCTAAGCCCTTGTTCCCCTCAAGGGCTTACGGAAGCTTAGGGCCTGAACCCTGAACCCTGCACTTGGGATGTTCCCCCTTATACTAACAGTCCTGAATAGGGATTCTAATAGGGGGTACTATAATCCCTATTAAGGACTGTTAGTCTAAGGGGGAACATCCCAACCCTAAACCTGAAACCCATAAGCCCCTTGGTCGAGTCCATGGTTCTGAACACGGTTTGGGGTTTAGGGTTTAGGGTTTAGGGTTTAGGGTTTAGGGTTTAGGGGGGGTCGCGGGGGGGGGGGGGGGGGGCTGGCTGCCAACTCGAGCTGTGTGGCTCCCGTGGGCTAAACGGGTGTGCCTAGTTGTCTACTTGGAGGTTCCAATGTGTAGTTGTAGGTAGGGCTTGGGGTTTAGGGTTTCTAGGGTATATGTGGGTTTTGGGTTTAGGGTTTAGGGCTGTTCTTGGAGGTTCATGGGTAGTTGCAGGTACGGTCATAAGTACCGCAGGTAAGGCTAGAACCAGTTGCGATGCTAGTTGCCTTACTTATAACCACTTACAACTACCCATGAATACCTGAATACCTACGAACCTCCAAGTGCGTACTGGATGCTGCTCATATGTATATGAAACCGTGTGTAACAACCGCCAAGTATGTATCTGGATGCTACTCATATGTATATAAGGCCGTGCGGAACAACAATAACGTGTATATGCAGATGCGAGCACCTCCATTGTATACGGCCACTGTAAAAACATAGGACAGCGCCGTGGCTTAAAGCCTGCGCGACCACAAGTCTGCATGATTCCCGGTTGGAACATGCCGCCCCTCCTCCAGCATGTCAGGAACTCCATTGCGATCGGCGTCGATGCCAGTGTAGAGGATGTCGGCTTTGCCTGCAGGGGTCCGGAGGACTTGGTGGATGCGACCGCGGGAACCGAAGCGGTACCCCCCAACCCGCCCCTAAACCCTAAACCCCAAAACACCCTTGAAGCCGCCCACAAACCCAAAAAAGTAAGCAACCCCCTGACAATTCCGAATCTCAACCCAGAAGTCATGGCTCTGAATAAGCTGCGCTGCTCACCTCTCGTCGACTGCAGACTGCTCTCCTGCCATCGAAACTGTCCAGGGCCTCGAGTTTAGGGTTTAGGGCACAGCCCGCCTCTCCGTGCATCTGGCAGCATGGCCTGGGGGTACTCCAAAAGCGGAAACGACACAAAAGCGACATGACATACCGGGTGGGGTTGCTCCAACATGGACCATCTGTTCACAACTCCCCTACTGCTGACACACCAACATCAGCGACGCGCATGTTGCAGGATTGCTATCTGCCCATGACCGTCAAATTCCATAGCCAGTACATGACGAAGGCGTCCCGTCACATTCCCATGGTGAACTACAACGAGGAGTCGTCGGCTTAGATAATTCGATGTTCAACAAACACAAAGAGAGACGTCTGCACGGCTGAAGCACGCACACTGTAGCAATGTGCGGTCAGCCGTCACTGCCCGGTCATCTTCAAAATACATGCTGTCGGAAACCTCAGCCCTAATTCTGAAGAATAGAAACAAAGCTAAAGGGTCCAAGTTCTGAAAAAAATAATGTATATAGTATGTGTATATATATATATATACTAAAAGCCGCAGCTCCCGCAAAGAAAGGCACGGCCCCTACGGAAATGGGCAGGCTCTGGGTTGCAAGGTCTTTACGGTTTGGGTGCTGAGGGTGAAGACCCAAAACCCAAAACCCTAAACCCTGCACCCTAAACCCTAAACCCAAAAAACCTAAACCCCAAACCCCAAACCCCAAACCCCAAACCCTAAACCCGAAACCCTAAACCCTAAACCCTGAACATAACGGGCGGCCTCCGACTCCGAAGCCGGTAGTGTCGATGCCTGGCCTGCGACGACGTCCCAGACCCCAAATAACGGGCCTGGGGTTTAGGGTTTAGGGTTTAGGGTTGAGGGTTTAGGGTTTAGGGTTTAGGGTTTAGGGTTTAGGCGGCTGAGGTTTCAGACTTTAGGGTTTAGGGAGTTTAGGGAGATCAGGGAGTTGAGGGAGTTCAGGGTTTAGGGTTTAGGGAGTTTAGGGTTCAGGGTACAGACTTTAGGGTTCAGACTTTCGGGTTTAGGGAGTTTAGGGAGTTCAGGGAGCTTGGGGAGTTTAGGGAGTTTAGGGAGTTTAGGGTTTAGGAAATTTAGGGGGCTTAGGGCTTAGGGCTTAGGGTTTTGGGTTTTGGGCGCATAGGGTTCAGACTGTAGGGTTTAGGGAGTTAAGGGTTTCGGGTGTTTAGGGAGTTTAGATTAATTGAAATGATGTATTACTATGAGTGACTATAATGGTATAAGAGTATAAGAGTCAGTGAATCCCTGCGAAATTATTTACCTGCCGTGTCGATGCCATCGTACTGCTTCATGAACAGAGACAGCGGTTCAATGTTCGAGAGAAGTCCCGAGGCACCCTGCAATGTGTCAAAACCACGGGGCTGGAGCCAACCCAAGGTTTAGGGTTTAGGGTTTAGGGTTTAGGGTTTAGGGAGTAGGGTTTAGGGTTTAGGGTTTAGGGAAGCCTCAATCTTATCTAGTCTAATGAAACGGATGTCACCGCCTGCGAGAATCCGCCCATCAGACAATGGCTTCGTGATTGGTAGCCTTGGCACGGAATATGGCATGCTGACGTAGGACTGTGATGTTATTTCTAGGGCGTCTTTCGTGGGGAAGTGGGGATTTGTTGAACAACTGTCTCCACAGTTGGTAGTTGCAAGTCTTGTACCGCGACAAGACGGTTACTTTAAAGGGGACCATCCAGGATCGCCTTGAACCCCAAAATGCCATGCTGTAGTGGCCCCCGAAAAAAAAGGCTTTCGCTAAGCGCCAAGCCCTAACCCCAAAATCCTGCCCTGAAACCACATACCAGTACATCCCTCCCTAAACCCTAAACCCTAAACCCTAAACCCTAAACCCTAAACCCTAAACCCTAAACCCTAAACCCTAAACCCTAAACCCTAAACCCTAAACCCTAAAACCAGACAGGCCCCACAGCTCGGTCTGCACTTTCGGCTCTGCTGGGTTCGGGGTTTCGTGCTTTTAACGGCTTGGGATTCAGGATGGTTCAGGCCCGCCGACGGAAGTGCCAGTCGAATTCTGAGCTTCTGGACACCACGTCTAGGTTGCTTACGGTTCAACAC